GTATAGATAATGATACAGAACCGTTTGTGCGCGAGTTATTGCTATGACTCATACGCGTCCTCTTTTATATCAAATTCAACTATTTAATTTTATTCATTGCAGCCATATTCTATAATAATCATCAAAAACTAATTAAAGCAACTGAATTACACATATTTTTTCATGATCATCAATTTTATCAATTTTAACGACGTCGGTTTCCCGAGTACCGCAAAATTAAAGCACATTAAGGCTGTCGCAATTTTCGTAATTACCTACTTTGATGCCATGCGTCACAGAACAGATGATAGGGTATGGGTAGTTATATTTTACAAGAGGCGCAACATATTACTCCACTCCACCTAATGTTAAGTGTAAGTGGAGTCCAGTCGCGAAGATGATGCGGCAGAAGGTGTGCCGCTCCAACCATCCCCACCTTGCCGGCCTGAACCCAATCCCCTGACCCACGGAGCCCTGAAAACCTACTCACCAGCAGAAACACAACAGCACCTAAAGGTACTGTTATTTTACTGTGTAACCTACTGTAAGGTGGAGTTTGCTTCCCCAGACGGGATCCAATTCAAGCGTAAAATCCGCTGTACCCAACCTATCTTGAGATAAATAAAATGCCTTAAATTCCATTGAAATCTTGATTGCATAGCAGTCACTGCATGCGAAGATAGCAAAAGACACTGCTTCGATTCCAGCATGATAATCAATGGGCCAAATATATTTTTCTTTCCTAGAAGTAAAATTCTATTCTGCTAATTTCAATAATCAACCTCCAGTAAATTATAATAGACCTATATAATAATAAAAATATTTAAGCAACAAATCTGACTTACTACTGCTGGACGAGTCCTGTCTGAAACCTTGACCGAGTTGATTTTTTTTTTAATAATGATATTCAATTTCAATGAAACAAATGGAACGTAAGTTTTCAAATGTTTATTGTCTTACCCAGTAGGTATTGAAAAACCGTTGAAAACTTTGTGGAAATAGCTACAATGGATTGTACGAGTCCAAATCGGACTTGGATGGTGTCTTAAAATATAATAAAATAATAACATATAATTACAAAGTTTTGTTTATATTTCAAAACGATAGGTAAAGAACTTTGGGAGATTTGCTAAATTACCTTTGCCTACCCACCCAGATCAAAATACAGCGTGAAGATGTGTGAGATCTATACTAATATTACAAAGAGGAGAGATTTTATTGTTTGTTTTTTATTTGTTGATAGGCTCCGTAACTTATTCGATTTGATAACGTAACCCAGGGTGTGAAAAATATACCAAAAAATAACAAATTTCCCGTTTTTGCAACTACTTACATCGATGATCCGCATAGTCTACCTACACTACAGCTCTACACCGAAGCGAAGAGAGGGCGGGCCACTAGTCATTAAATATATTTAAAAATGTAATTGTTTAAAATTTTCATTCAAAGGTAAAAGTGTTTGTATATTATTAGCAAGCCCAATCATGCTAACAGCTTCTAGCCTTTAAAGCGTCAACAAGTGTTTATTTACTTATAGGTGAGGTGGTATCTCTCTTCAACTAGTTAGCAAACGTATGGACAAATTATACCGATAGTAACATACGTAGAAACTTGAACAAATCTTTATCGAGAAAGCACACAAACTTGCTCCAAATCAGAGGAGTATTTCAATTCGACTCATAAAACTTGCTTTTAATGCAAAAAGATATCCGTAGTAGTCGAGAACGCAGTTCAAAGGAAACTCTCGATGCCAATAAATTAAAGATGGAGTCTATCTCTTGACTTATTCAGTGCTTCTCCAATTATCTCGACGTAATAACAATTAGAACAGTCTAGAATTGTTTTTTCCTAGGAAAGTCAATTGTGCTGAGGTTCCACTCAAATACTACGAATCATTTAAGATAGTCGCGTACTTAAGTACGATTTATGAAATCCCTAAATAGAGTTCTGAAAATGAGTACTTTGAAAAACCTAGTTTACAACGCGGTACTAAATTGTTAAATACAAAATGACAATCTGTGTCCATGCGATTTGCGAGTTGAAATTAAATAGATATGATCAGATTTTTTAACCCATACGCACTGAATTACCACCAGAAGATCAGATAGGGATCTGATATTCAGTGTAAGTGGAGTCCAGCTACAAAGATAGATGATGATGATGGTGGTAAAAATATCAGATATACTACCTCTCCTTGAAGACCTGAAACTGTTTCACATAAATATACTCATCAAAACGTCTAAGCAAGATGTTGTACGGTTTAGAACTATTGAACGAAATTTACTATTACTATTGTTCTATATTTAATTTTTACTATACTATTAAATAGACTATCATATTTTTGGGAACAAAAAATATTGTATACTTCGCTAAGACAAAAATAAACATCAATGAATGAAACATACAGTTTCTGTAAATGATGCGTGTTGCTTAGATGTTTTTGATGTGTGTATAGTACTTATAGCAACCCTTTTTTTTATTACGCAGGTAAGAACTCTTTTTACAGACGACGGCGCCTTTAAGAGGCACACCGCCGAACGGACCTCACACCTGGCTCCCGCAAGTCTTACGGACACCCCAGTGGCTGCCCACCTGGGACCCCGCAACTCTTACGGGCGCTCACGGCATAATATCCTCTAAAAAAGTCCTGCGAATACCTTCACCACTGCCTGATGCGGAGCCGCGGGATCTCCATGGTGGGATTTATCCGCATCCTTGCACCTAGAAGCTTCCCGGCGTCGCCGGGGCTCCACGGCAGGGATCTCCCGAGGTACTGCGGGGACCCCGCAGACGTGCGCAGGTAGGCCCGCGCATGGGGGCTGGGTACGCAGCCTAGTGCCCACCGTACCGCCCCCCGTCCGCTACGGAGGACTATAGCCCTCCGCCGCCCCCCCTTGCAGACAGAACCACATAAGGGGGGGACGCCGTTCCTGGGAGGGGAAGCGTAGTTCTTCCCGTCCCTCTCCCCCCTCCCGGCCGCCCACATCTCCCCGTCCCTTCTCCTGGGAGAAGAGGGGTGAATGCGGCGACCGCATTGGGGGGGGGGGTCCGAGCGGCCAGGGCTACTCGGACATCCTCCCCCCCTGAGGGCACCCGTACAGGCGCCAACGCCTCAGAGGGGTCATTCTTCCCCTTCGTGACCGGCGGGTCACAACTCCCCCTCCCCATAACATGGTCGGCCGGTTGACCACTCTCCTTAACTTAACTTAAAGCAACCCTAAAAACTACTCACTTATTTTTTTATGGATTTAACTGCTAGATCTTCAAATCAAAATAAAATTTAACTAGATTAAATTGGATTTTTTCTAGTTAAATTTTCTTTAGATTAAACTATTCACTTATTTTCCAGTGATCGAAGTCACGAATAAACTTTGTAAACTCTCCGTCTTGGCCTTAACTTTATTTAGTACTAAGTTTCAACTACCTATATAGGGAATGGCTATCAATCTAACTTAAGTACCTCACGTAGAGTAGAGACTAATTGAGACCGTTTTTGACAATAATTTTAACTTAAGGATGACATAGTGATATTTTTTAAGCATATAACTGCTGACTGGTTAAATCTAAACAATTCTGTCTGCTGCCTGGCCCGCGTGGAATTTCTAGTGAAATTGTCTTTACATCTAAGGATGACATTTTAAAAAAATACCATAACTAACTTACCTTAATAGTTTAACACTTACAAATAACAACTTATAAAATTTCAAAAGAAGATCAAAGAATAACATTTTGTCTTTCTGATAACAAACAATCATCGTTACACCAAAGACTGAATTACTTAACTTGAGTTACTTTAAAGAGTTGACAAAAATAAATATAAATTTACCCATGCATCGTAGTCTTCTGACTATAAAGAAAAGTTATTTGACTGTATTGTGCACTTTCTGAAAAAACAATATGTTGCATGTAAGTTTTCGGAGAATATATAAAAATGAAAACGGTAAAAAACAAAAGTATTGTTGAAAAAAAATATTACCTAATAACACTATCAAATTGAAAATCAATATCAAAAAGAACCTGAGCAACTGTACATATTACGGATACAGAAAAAAACGACGACGCAAGTGCAACTTTTAAAACCATTAATAAAAAACTTTACTTAGCTGGGAATCGAACCCACTCCACCCACGTAGTAGACGAGCTTTCTACCATCAGATCACCGATGCTTGTTGACAAGGTCTCAATTTAATAACAATTAAAAACGTTATACGACATGCTAAGGAATACGAAACAAAAGAAAATTGTGACGATTTGATAAATGTTTCATTTTCAAAACTGAAAGCTTTTTCTACAACTCAACGAGTTGTTGAACCCTGTACATAGAAGTTATTATTTGTACAGGGTTCAACAACTACTTGACTACTATTGTAAATATTCTTCCTGATTCTGTATTTTCATATGTGATAAAAAAATGTCCACAAGAAAGTATCGAAAAATTCATAACAAAAAGTTTTCATTTAACAAAAACCCAATAATGAATCAAATATAATCATCTGAGAAAAAAAATAAGTAGATATAATTTTAGTATAGTTTAAGTGCAACGGAAAAATAATGTCATTTTCCCGAGCAACACTTTAGAAATTTAATTAAAGAAAGTGCTTGACCTGCCTTTAAAATGCTTTTCTTTTCATTTACGGCTCGCCAAGAATCACTTAACAGTAATTAAAGCGAGTTATCAACAAGTTCATAATAAGGTTTTTTTTTGTTGGCATACAAACTGAAGGTCGCCTTTTTTAATGCAGGAAACTAATCAAAATATGGCATATACGGAAAGTCCCATAAAAATGTTTCCGCCTTGTACAGTGCTACGAAAATCGTAGTCAACGGCATTTCGTAGGAACCGTAACAACAGTTGCACTTCGTATCTGCTACGGTTCACTCGTGCGTTTATCATAAACACAGCACTTGAGATTGAAAAGTTTCCGACAAGAATGAAATGTTTTGTCACCAATTCGTTATTTTTTATAGTTACTGCTATCCGTGAATAAAGTTAGTTTCAAACTAAAAGTGATAAGTGAAATATGAAACGCACAGTACTAATTTTGTACTTTCTCAGCTATTACAAAGGTAGGTTGTATTTAATAATGGTTTTTATGTTTTTATGGCTATAAATTTTGTTGCAGTGAATAAAATAAGTATCCGAAGTCTGATGGGAAAATAATGTTTTATCAATAAAAAATAAACTCGCCAATTTAAATAAACATAGAGGAATTTGAACTATTACATGTTGAGTGAAGAAGAAGAAGAAATATAATGTTGAATATAATTTAAGGTAGAAATTAATGTATAAAATATGTACAAATATTATATTAAACAATTTTAAACCATAATTATTATAAAGACGTGAGTAAGTTATATTACAGAGAGCTTATATTATGGATCATACACGTCAAATGCAATAGTTAATAATTTTTCTTGGTAAACTAACCGCGAAAAATGCCCTTTCGATTGAGAGATCAAAATATAATTTAAAAATAATAATAATAAACATTTATTGCAGTCTTCAAAATCCATAGATAAGTGGTAGTAACAGACGCAATCTTATTCTAGTTATAGTAAATGAAGAACATACAAATATATTATAGTTAAAATATCTGAAATTAACTTAATTAAGTTAATGTAGACATACTGTATGTGTATGTATAGCATCGATCGACGTAGTCCAAAAGAAATGAAAAGGATTAAAAAAAGTAATTCATAAAATGCAAACATTTGTTTCACAACATTCCTGGGTATCTAATTGCTAAATGTCAAAATAAAAACCTTATATGTTGTTACTTTACCTTTTATAGCAAATGGCTTTCTAAAAAACAACGAACATAACTCTAAATAACAACGAGCATACCAGATGTAAAATGTAATTAGCGTACGTTTTTATGTTATGTCTGCTTCATTGTATTTTCATTGTCAAAATGCTCTGTAAATCATACAGGGTGGGAGTAAGAACAGGTAAAAATGGTGAAAAATGGTTTGTGTATAACATCGAAAACATATGTTGTTTTAAAGTTTCATGGTCATATAAGTTATTAACGGGATTGTTACCATGTACTATCGCGGAATTTTGTACTCTGTTTCTTTGGCGAACAAAATGCTTTGAACGGTTTTCTACAGTAGTTTTTACTACGCCCTGCCTTCGCGTCGGACGCGCCAATCCGGGTCGCCCCGCACAAAAGTAAGACAGAGAGCATTTCATTGATTGAATAATGAATTGAATTGCATTTGTTTTAGTTGTAATGTGTCATCCGCATCGTGATCGCGACAGCGCTATACGAAAAAGTGAGACAGTGATAATTACATGTCTATGAATGAATTTTGAGTCTTTCCGCGAGTGTACCTTGTTTTTACCGCTAAAAACAAGGTACATGGTAACAATCCCGTAAATAACTTACATTACTATAACATCGAAAACATGTTTCACTGATATATCCAATTTGACATTAATGCCTTTCATCTAAGTTAATTTACGTATCAGAATAATATTTGCGCACTCTTATACAAATCTGTCAAATATGACATAGCATTTCATACCGTACATACTTTTTATTCATTTTATATGTCATAAATTGTCTTATTATAGATTTGAAAAAAAAAACTTTATAAACAATATATGAAACAATAGCGACCGCCCGCGACTTCGTCCGCTTTATCTTTAGTTTTGTTTGGTTTGAGAATACTACAGGAACCTAACATTTTCCTGGACTTAAAGTATTCCATAGTATAGTTTTTGTGTAATTGAGTAACAAACATACAAACTTTCACACTTGTAATATTATTAGGAAGGAGGATGCAATCTCGCTATTTCAGAACCACAGGTCAGTCTATCAAAGTTTGAACTGGAGCGCGCACACCTAGGGAAATATCACAAACTGTACAGAAAACTACGTCTAAAACCACTATAACACAATCTAATATTATGTTGATACAATGATATCGACTTCTAGTACCGCAAATACAGTACAACAGACGACCTCCGTGTCCGAGTGGTTTGTACGCTGAGTTTCATGGTGTCACCGACTCCCGGGTTTGAATCCCGGTGGGGGCAGATGTTTGAGTAATGAATATGAGCATTTGTGCTCCGGTCATTGATATTTAATATGTATTTCCATATAAATATACTTATTTATGTACAATATGTGTATTCTATCCTAGTATCCCGTAACACAAGCCTTACAGTGCTTACTTTGGGGCTAGGCTAATTGGTGTGAGTGTTGGAAATATTTATTATTATTTATTTATTATTATTATTAAATGTGAATAGACTAGAATAGTTCATATTTATATTTTCTATTTCGGTACTTATTTGTGCATCCACGTACACTTCAAATGCACTTCATAACTTTAACCAAACCTTGTCATTAGTAAGATGACTTATGTTTTGTTGCCAGTTATATTTTAAAACATTAAGCTGCGTGATTTACATTATTATTATTTATTTTTACTAGAAAAAAATCTACCTTGTCCGTGTCAGGCGTGCAATAATGCAGGGATGGACAAACTTTTTCCTTATTGTGGCGAACAGCGGGTCAATTTGTAAATTAAATCAAATCAAAAGATAGTTCAGTTACGAATACATGCGAAGAAAGCTGGGGGGTACTAGGAGGCTTTCTTCCTCCCATTATCTTCCACTTTGTTTATCTAACAATCTTCTTCTTTTCACTTCTCCTAACATTTCCAAGGCGTATAGCCATTCTTTTACCGCACATGCTATCCAACTCTGAAATTCCCGGCCCGAAAAGATTAGGCGTGCCCAAACTTTAGACTGCTTTAAGTCTCTGTAAGTGTAAGTAATTTTTAATAAATCTTGCATTAGCACTTACCGGTTTGAAATATAACACAATCTGTCTTAATGTTTTAATTTTTTAAGCATTTAACTGCTCGATATTTAAATCTAAAGAAATGTTTTACTAGAAAAAAATCCACGCAGACCAGGTAGCGGACGGGACTCGAACCCGCACCCTTCGCAAGCCTTGCAGCTTAAGGGTTAGCATAATTGGTCAGTACAATCTGTCTTGTTTGAAATATTTGAGTATTTATGTTTGCCTATATATTAAAATTTCTTTTATTGTATTGTTTTATTTTTTTTCCTTTTGTCTTCTTATTATCTTACTATCAAGAAAACTTTTGCCTTGTATTCCGCACAACTCTTACTACTACTACTCGCTTACCTTCTTTTATTTCCAGCTCATTAGGTTGTCTGGAAGAAATCGCTCATTAGCGATAAGACCACCCTTTGTGCAATATTGTATTTTTCTACTTTGTTTTGTTTTCTGCTTATTTTGTATATATACTATGTTGTGCAATAAAGAGTTTTTATTTTATCTTAACGATGTCTGAGTCTGACTATTATAGGGCCAACATAATTTATTTTTTAACTTCTGTAATTATTTTTGGGTGTCAGGTTTTTTAACCTTAATAAAATTCCTAGACATAAAATTCTGAATCATAATACTACCAACAAAGTATACTAAAAAAATACATCCAATGTTTCCATAACTCGTACAAAATACCATACTCAATTACTGTTCCTGTGCAGTGACAATCTGCCTCCGAGTGGTCGGCGTGACGGTGCCGGCGCTCAAACAACGCGGCGAGGCAGCCACTTTGGGCTGCGACTTCGACCTCGAAGGCGGCAAGCTGTACTCCGTCAAGTGGTACCGAGACAACGAGGAGTTCTATCGCTTTATGCCGCGGTTGCGACCGCCACAGCACGCGCATAAAGTCGACGGGATCAAAGTCGATGTATGATTTTAAGGCCTGCGCAGCTTTAAGCAGGAGCACGAAACGGACGTCCATTCCGCATATTTGTTTCATGTTATTTCATAGAGCAGCGCTGTGTGAGGCGGGTCTCCCGTTACAATGCTGCTCTATGAAATGTCATAAAATTTCACACGGAGCGGACGTCCACTCCTTGCTCCCGCTTAAAACAGTGCAGACCCTAACTGTCTTAGAAATAGTAATATCATCATCGTTTTATTTTAGCATCAGGTGTCATCACAACAGCATTCCACTCACATTTAACATACAGTGCAATCACAAAAGATAATTTGTCAACATGTTTATAGGTCAGTGTAATCTATACCTACGTTACACGCGGCATAGTTCAGTTGGAGTACGAATTTTGACAGCTCCGTAATAGTATCGTCATTGAGATTTTTTTGTAAAAATAAGTTTGTTCTTGAGTCCGATACGCAGCTAAGTTTTCATATACACTTTGACGATGCGTCTTTGATTCGTGCTCTGGAGATCTGTGTGTGCGGTCTCTTTTGTTACGGACTTGCCAAATCAGTAATTATCTTTATCTACACTCATGTCAAAACATTCGAATTACGAATTTAAAGCTGGTTTCATAAAGACGTACGAGTACTTTATAAACGCATATATATAAAATTAAAAATTAAACTCATTACAGTAATGTATCCTAAAATAACATTTTAGCTTCGCATTTTAGTCATTACAGTATAATTTAATTTTTTAATTTTATATATTAGACTATAAGCCGATATTAGGCTTAATGTAAAAAAGAGGCGCACGCATTCAAATTTAAAAATTAATTTCTAGCACTATCCGTAAAAAATTTCTGTTCGTTTTCTTGTTACTTCTTTATTACTTTCTTTAATTTCTTTGGGTGAAGTGCATGCAACTCCATATAACATATGTTTTAAAACACAAGAGGCAACCTATTATCGATAAACAGACTCTCGTGTTTAATACCCCTTCTTATATGACAGTCGCATAAACTATTATAATATATACACACTTTTTAGTTTAGATAAAGAGACACGTGTTAAAGAAGCGATTAAATTGGAACGCGCTTAGACGAGTATCTTCATCTCAGAAAAGCAAAAGAACATTATTATTCCGTAGTGTTAGATTTCAGAACGCGGCCAGCTATTTTCAGCGTCTATAGTCTTTTATGGCTGGTAAATTATCGCAGTTTAATGATAAACTCCTTTCCTATTTCATCGTTATATAATTCTCCTGAATAAAATGTTAAACGGACTACTCGTATACGAAATAAGCAAAGGTTAAAACGACACGAAATTACACTACAGAAACACTTAAAAATTACCAGCTTCAACCGTATGCTAAGTGCATAATAGAATTCTCACATTTTCTTACCAACTACCACTTATTTTTATTGTAGATGGACAAATCGAGCGCCCGCCGAGTGCACCTGAAGGAGCTCAGTCTGAAGTCTCGAGGACTCTACCGTTGCGAGGTTTCCAAAGAAGCGCCATCTTTTCACTCGGCGCAGGCCGAAGCATTCATGGAGGTTAACTGTAAGTTTCAAAAAGAGATTTTGTATTATTTTGTTTTATATAAACACACTGTGAATGGTTCTGTCAAGTATATGTATTTATTTCGTGTTTTGCTTTGGTTAAAAGAATAAAAACGGAATACTGACGAAGGCTCGTAGCATTCCTAATCAATTTTGCATTTTCATGATTATTTTAGTATAGGACTTAATGATCGGGATAGTCTTATGGATATATTATATTAATTTAATATTTATCAATGATTTCCAATTAATAAACAAAAGTAATGTAATGAAAATCATTCTTCCATACCAAGTATTAACTATTTTATTTTACAAAAGGTGTATGATACCTGTACTATTTGGTTTATTCTAACTGCGACAACGATGCTCCCCCGAATCTTTTGACTTTATAAGTACACATTAAAGAAATAACTATAACTTTTACTAAATTATATGCCGCAATAAATAGAGATAAACTAACACAAAAAAGGGATTCTGTTTCTTATATAAATGCATGATATAATGAATAAATTGCTTAAATTAAACTCATCAATAGGAGCTTATGTATGGGATGGTATGGAATGCTATCAAAGGAATGAGATGACTTTCAGCCTCTCAAATCGGTCCCTTGAGTGAGATGTTTTGTTTCTGCTGTGATTACCGCCATGATTGATTTCTCTCCACCCCTTATGACCTTCCAATTAATCTATTGACAATCAACAATAACTTAAACGTATACGCATAAAGGCTTTAGATCAAGTATTTAAAGCCTGTTAACAAATTGATGACGTCGTGTTTTGTTTTTTTATAAGAGCCACAATTTTCATAAGAAAGGCTAGGCAGAGCGCACTTTTCGTTCAAATTACAGTATTCAAATAACAAATGACTACAACAAAATAATTTGTTCTATGGTATTGAAATTTTATGGTATATAATGTCACCAGAGCTCCACCATGTAGGGGAGTGCATTCAAAATTAGGTTATTTTTATGTCTGTTGTGGGGACCCCATTCTTGTGGCCCCTGGGGGTCTGCCCTGCCATAAATCCAGGCCTGAAGAGTTTCATCTTTCCATCTGAGCAAATAAGCTAGTCTTAAAATAAGCAATTAACTTTAATCTTGAATTGAGCCTTATTTCTATATGCTTTATCCCATGTTTTACTAAAACCCTTTTGTACCCAATAAACTATTTCACAGTATGAAAAATAAAGTACCTACCAATTGATGGCATCTGTATATAATATAAACATTAGCAGCGATATTACCTTTCTGAGAGAACAAATAATTAATTACTTTTCTAAAAATCATTGAATTGTAATGACCTTTTTGTTTCATGGTCACGTGACCGAAAACGCCTGGGATTGGTGAAAACTAAAATGACGTCAAACGCTAGTAAAGTTCCGATCAAAGTGACATTACATTGTATCGATTGACGTTTTAATGATAGTCGTCACATACTAGTGAGGCACCATAATGTCCACAAAAACGTTTTCGGGGAAACTTTAAATAATAATTTTTAAGTTTCCCCGAAAACGTTTCTCTGGACATTATGATTTTCTACTGAAGTACACAACAGAATGATGAATATCAAATTTTTTGGACTTTATAAAAGAAGGCGGGTAGATATATTATGAGAATAGGCAAAAAGGACATTGGGCAAAAATGTATGGACGCTGCATCCACGTCCGCCACGGCTTAAACTACATTTGTTTGAAAGGTATTATAGTCATGATCATCTGTGCCAAAGCGCATCAAATTCCATCCCGGGGGTCTTTAGTTATTTTAAGTTGAATAGGTACAAGTACTATGACGAAAGAACATTAATGAAACAAGGGAATTAATTTAGTTAGTTCGACCCTACAAAGGGGACTCAGTTATTATGGAAATACTTCACAAGGTGTCTGTGCCTGCCCCCTTATGTTATTCTGCCGCGCTAGAGTAAATCCAAAAATCCCCGCATGGGTTGGTGTTTTTTCAAACATTCAGTTCGTTATAGTTAATTCTATTCTATGTAAAACGGAACGACCACAAATCACACAAACTCGTCCACGCTTTGGAGAAAACATGATTCTAGTTTAGATAAAATGGATTACAATTGACAAAACCGATAATCGTGTTCCAATCTCCAAAGCGTGTTAGATAAAAATCAATCAAGTGACAGGGAGCGCACGATTACAACGAAGTAAGGCGATTCGACTATTTGCAACTGCATGTCCTTCAATGCCCGTAAACCGTTTTGAGGTCTCTCAATAAGTGCAAGTGCAGGATGGTCGGCATGCTTTGTCGTATATCTGGTTGTATAGTACGATATGGCACATTATTATGGTCACTAATAATATAAAATGAAGGTACTATAAAATGAAAGTAATTTATCTTCTTAAACATGTTCATGTGTCTTTTGACTACCAGGATATTTTTTTTACGGTGTCATAATAAAAAAGCCTGGTTTTTCATAGATCTTTCGATTCATACTACTTACATTGTTGGCGGAGCTGGGTGTGTTTTGTCCATTTTCCTTTACCATTTTCCCCTTTATCTCCGAAACTAAAAGGTCAAGGTCCTAAAATAAAAAAAAAATCTTTATTTATAGTACAGGTATAGAAAAACTTAAACTAATAAAGTCGTTTCGTCGAATAGTTTATATATAAACAAAAATCAACCTATTATCACTCCATGATTTTTTACTTGACACTGGCAATGTACTAATGGCACTAGCTAAAAAGGGGAGTTTTTGGTGGGATTTCATCGATTGCAGTTGGCGTCTTATTTTAATTATTTTTAAATTCGTTCATTGTGAAATAAAATTGGTGGAATCTTTAAAATATACGCTATTCCGGTCAAGTGGACGTGAGAACTTTATTGTAGTATTGACTACCTCACAGAAGCTTATCGAAAAAACCAACTTGATACATTTCGTGTCAAATACTCCAAGAAACATTAGAATGCGTCACACCGACATTCTAATGTTAATTAAAAAAAGAAGATTAAGATTTATATTAATGTATACGACTGAAGGACTTGTATTCATGGTCATGAATAATGAAAAAAAAAACTAGCCAAAAAAAAAGAATTTCAGCAATAAGTAATAATTTTATAGTTACTACAAATGATTTTGGGTCGAAATACAAAAAAACTTAAGGAACTTAAAAGATAAATAAATCTACACACGCATTGAACCATATTCACGTGATCTTATTTAATGTTTATTTGTTAATTCGAGTGCAAGGATAATATAAAAAAAAAATATATTGTACTAAGTACATAGTTTATTTATTTATTCATTGCATATCACATTCACAGAAATAATGTGGTACATAAATAATAATACAGTAACCATGTGACGCCCTGCAGGGACATAGCAACTTTTGAGGGTTATTATCTATTTAAAATACATGATTATACAATTGCACAATATATTTTATAAATTAAGTTCAAAATCATTCTACACATACATTGGTGTCAATTCTAGCATGACTCTCCAACCCAAACCTAAATTCGACGACAGTGTATCCTTGAATCCTAGAATCGATACCATTAATTCTTTTTTTTTTATAAATTCTTCATTTAAATACATTAATAATAAATTAAATTCTTATAGTCTGAAGCATTCCATTGGCTGGGTGATTTGTCATCGAAAAATTCATTTAAGTCATAATAACATTTGGCAAAAAGAAAGTCTTTTAAATGTTTGATAAATTGCGTCGGTGTGTTATAGTTTTTTTAAATAGTTAGTTGTCACTTGTCTATAATTATGTCAGTTTGAAAGCTATTTTTTTTTTTTTTAATTTATATGTAAATAAAAAATAAACGCCGTCGTGTATTTATTTCTTTTTTTATGTTCTTGTGTGTCAGTACATGGAATGTTTATAAGAAAATAAAAAATATCTAATATAAAATACCTATGGCGATAGGACCCTGCGAACTTCGCAGGGTCAGCTACCTAAATACCGTGATAAAAAGACCCGTTCTTTGACAATTAAAACTTATGTTAAATAAAAGGCCTTTTTCTTAATCTATAAAAAAGCTGCTACTCCGGTTTCAACTCCAGAGTTCCGGATTTGATTTCTCAACTACGGAAGTAGCTCCGGAATTGTAAAATATCCGAATTTGAAAGCCCTACTCCACACTTCTTAATCCGGCCCTGTATACCCTGTAGGTACCTATCCTTACCCCGTAGACCTCTAGAATCTTACCCACCGCCAGAGCCAGAAACACAACACTACCAAAGATTGAACTGGCCTTCTGTAAGGAAGGCAGAGCGTACTCCTCCCTAGTCGGACGGATGCTACAATTATTCAGCTTTGGTTTATTTTAAATGGTCTTTGGAATTTTTCTCATGTTCATCAAGGAAATTAATTAGGCTTCCTGTTTCTCTTATTTAATTGTGCGATATGAAAAGCGATGTGATTGTATATGACACATAACGTCAAATATTTTTATGATTTTGATCAATACCTAACTATTACTTCTGAATCCAATTTATTCTGTCCACTTGTAGAGTCGCGAGCCGAGCTCACGTAAATGTTATCGTTTAATTCCAGACTTTCCGCGCGAAAGCCCTCGCGTTAGCGGGCACGAGCGGCCCTATTCCCCGGGAGAGCCACTCGATGTGAACTGCTCCGCAAGGTCGTTCCCGCCGGCAGAATTACAATGGCACATCGACGGACAAAAAGTTGGTTTTAGTAATTTATGTTATTAACGGGATTGCTACCATGTACCGTGTTTTTTACGAGTTTGTTGTTACAAGCGCCATGATCACGGAGTAACAAGAGCCTGCTACATACCATAATAATAATTTAATTTAATAAAAGCATGTTTTTTTAACATCATAATACTCAATATAGTCTAAATCACCTTAAATTCAATTGCAACCTTTCAAGAATTTGAGATTTGAGTAGAATTTCAGTTTAGTAGATACTTTGTTTACTTTATTATTGTCTATTTAATGCGCTATGACTTCACTTTCACTGCAAGACCACAGTCAGTTGTATTTAGAATAGGGCAGCGGTAATGACAGGTAGGGCATAAGTAGAGGCGTCCAGCTCTTCGCAGTCTGCCGCCCAGTTCAAGGGTAGATACATTGCCCCCTAGCTACGGCCCTGATTTGCCGACAAATAAAAACAATCAAAGTAACTTATAACAATATCGAAAACTCATACAGTAAACCCCAAAATCACCGGTTAACACAGTATATTTTTACGTTAGTCCCTATTATTTAAGGTATGTTTTAGGTTTCAGAGAGATCGTGGCTTATTCCCTACGGTACCCAACCGGCGGCGTCACAAGGGCTGATGGTATCGACGCTGGGCCTCAGAGCCCCAGCACACCCGCTAATGCAGCTGAGCTGCATTGCCCTGATGGGCACACTACGTAGAGAACGTACAGTAATAGTAGGTATGTTTTTTAAGATAATAATTACCTATGTTAGAAATTGAGGTACATACAGACCCCTCTTTCCCAGTGGACATTTTGGGCAAGTGCCCAGGGCCCCGCGATCGATAGGGGCCTCCCTCAGATCAAATACACAGTCCCTAGTTCCTGTCAGATCACCAAACGATAACCAATATTTATTACCAAAAAACATATAATTCGATGAAATCAAACCTAAATTTCTGACCACAATACCAACTTTACAAATTACTAGCTTTTACATAAGCGAAGCTATTCTACACACGCCCAAAAATTAGGCTTTCCGACTTCAGCATTCTTAGATAAATTTAAATAAACATATAATGGTATACTATGCACATATACAATTAAAGAAAAATCATCAGTAGTACACTCATCAATATGACTCGCTCCACATCAAAGTCATAGCATAGGGGCCTCATTATCCTAATATGCCCAGGGCCTCCAATAGATTAAAGACGGCCCTGGGTACATACCTTCTTCTTCACATGCCGTTCCATAAATCGGAGGTTGGCGATAATACATGCTCACTGCCGGATTTAGGGGAGGGCAACAGGGGCGAAAGCCCCGGGGCCTCCACAAACGGGGGGCCCCCACAATAGAGACTTCGGAAAAAAAAGTCTTTTAAATTCCAACTAGTAAACATCTTTTCCTTTGATATTTTTTTTCTTGCTCTTTTACCTTTACCTACAGCCCACAGTACTTTGTACATCTAACATACATGATTATTTGATTATATTAACCTTAAATAACAGAAATCATTGATCTATATTTGTTCACTCCAATCAGGCAATCGGTGAAATATCAAAATCTCAAATGGCCCTGATAAGCACTTCCAATTCACTACCCATCTTGAGGGAGTACCCCAATCGCTTAATGGCTGAGTGGGGTGGTACTTGCCCGCAGGGCCGAATTTAAGGCAGCGCAGGTGGGGTTGCGGCCCAGGGGCCTCCACAACAGCTTAAGAAATAACAACGTTTCGATGGGTTAACAAGAATACAAATCCTAAGTGGCCCGGGGCCTCCACAATCCTAAATCCGGCCCTGTACCTGCTATTTTGACCTTGGAAACTGTAGCACGGAGCAATAGTCTAGTAGGCACCTGCTTACTCATTTTGAACTAATCTTGAGATCTATAAACTATGATGTCCAGGCCTCTTTCTGGTCTTTATCTTACATTGAATGAATCAGTCGAAGAAGATCAAATATCACCAATTGAAGGTAGGTAGGTTGTATTTAGGTGAATTAAGTTTGAGTAAACTACAGAGAATCTTGAATGAAAAGTTTCGCAAATTTACTCTAAGTGTCACCCTACACTAAATCCCTATTTATTACTACTGGGTGCTCACGACTTCGTCTGCGTGTAAAAAATGTTTTATATACAAACTTTCACCCCCTTGAAAGATGATTTCTGGGATAAAAACTATCCTATGTCCTTTCCCAGAAATCAAACCATCAGTTTACCAAATTTCATCTAAATCGGTTTATTAGTTTGAGCGTGAAGAGGTAACAGACAAGACACACATTGGCATTTATAATATTAGTATAAATATTCGTTGGCTATATGTAAAAACATTAACGAAACTTTGTATTTTTCATTTCAGAAATAAACTCATCTTCCACGAAAAAGGCGTTCGGTTTAACTGTACTGACATTATTAGGCGTCAACATTAGATTTTACGACAAAATATTGTGATATATTTAAATAATTTATTTTAACTACCATTAAAATGCGTTATATTATTTATGTAAATATTTTTTTATAAGTCTAGTGTTTTATTTTCTTAATTATTGACCTGACAGAGATCGTCTGCGAAACGGTGTGCCAACTTCGGGACCACGACACGACACGACGACCGATATAAAGCATTTGATTATCTTGAAAAGTGTTTAACCCCCTCTGTACCCTTAGCACGAACCAATATCGAATTCGAATAGTTGAATTCGATCTAGATACACGTTAAATGTCAAGAAGTAGTTATGAATGGAAGATTTTTAATTCTCGTTACGTTCACTTGTGGCGCTGTTCAAATTTCCATACAAAACTTCTTGAAGTTTAACGCGTTTCCCCAACGAATTCAAAATGGTTCGTACTAAAACTACTCTGGTCGATCCTAGATCTTCTCCGAACGCTTTGTAAATCGGTTATCCAGCTGGATCTTACTGGACTGGAAAGTCGCCTCGTCTATTCCTATTTGTGACCACTGGCTTTGTCCTTTGAGGATAATGGGTACAAAATCCCAACTGACGCCAGTGGTGACGTAAGTATAGTCATCTAAACAAAACCCATTATATAAGTTACGAGTAACTGGTAACGGTAATGGTAAGAACTGTTAATAGATCTCCCAATCTACCTTTCTTTAAAAAAGTCATAACCAAGTGTCCCACTAACACAACCACGAGATCAATGTGAGAGTTTGCGCATATCACTCCTTGTAATTATCAAAAAACCATATTAAAAAACTAATCTTTAATTTGAAACATTTAATTGCTTATTCAACATTATATAAAACAATAGACAAAAATATATTCTAATTTCGAAATCTAAGAAACAATTTTTGGACATAATAATAAATCATCATACTACCTATGTGTAGGTCACACAAATGGGGTTCACAAAATGTAGATCATAACATTTATGTAAGTATTACAACTTTATTAACTTTTTAACAATATGAAATGCCATCAAACAGAAAAATATAATTATATCACAATAGAAAATCACATATTAAAAAAATTGCTGGACACAATATCAATTCATTTCACAAAGACGAAATTAATTAAAGAAAGTTACTAGGTGTTATTTTGAGTTTAAATCAGATTACATGTTCCTATAAAATTAACATTAACTTCTACAAAATATATACAACTTATTAAATTATTGAAAGGAAATGATAATTTTGGATAACTCAGGAAAATAGATGTTTTAACATGAATTTTGAAGAAGAACTTTTTATTGAAGATGTTTCTAATTCATACTTTAGTTTTATTTGACAAGTAAATAGAGACTCTGCTTTCAATATTTTCACATAAACTACCTAAGTTTAGTTATTACTATAATTATACTAGATTATTATTGAAATACAGAGATTAAAAGTGGTACTAACATTTTAAAGGCAAATTGGTGTCATATTCACAATGGAAAACAGCAGCAATGAACCATTTTTGTTCCTACAATTGATTTTTGTTAACAAAGTTCCAGATAAGAATGAATTTCTTGATATTCAATCCCTTTTTTTGCATTGTAATAGTTATAGCAGATATCAAAATTAAGTCTGATTTGATCTCTGACAAGCCTAAGGTGACGCTTGGTAATAAGTTATACAAAATGTTTAAATGAAACTTGTAACTTATTACAGTTACTGTGCTTATAAAACATAATACAATAAGTCAATGAAATTAAGCATTAGCAGATGTAGAATAACTTTAACCCTCAATTCAAATTCATTAAATTTACCCTTCTTGACCAAAGTCATCCATAAACTTTGTAAGTTTGGTCAAATCTTCGTCATTTACAGTAGGCTTGGATGTTGCCAATGACCTCATCATGTCAGACATGGTTACTGGAGGCTCACCCAATTTATCACTTGGTACATCCATCCATGACATTTCAATAGCCCCTGGGTCCCCAGGAGAACAAGGTGTCAAAAGATCATTTACAATCACATCAGGATTTGTAGGACTTGGGCCAGAAATCTTCTTAAAGTGGGTGGCCGATTGTACTTTACGGACAGGTTGCATAAGAGCATCACGTACAACAATGCTGATATCAGCTCCAGAATAACGATCTGTCTTGGCAGCCAACACCTTTAAATCTTGTTCAGTCAACACATGGCGTGTGTTCCCCATATGTAGCTTGAACATATCAAGACGAGCATGCTCTTCAGGTAAAGATATGTATATGCGCTTTTCAAAACGCCTTCTGATAGCAGCATCAAGAACCCAAGGTATATTAGTAGCCCCCAGCACTAAAATACCATCCATATCATTCCCAACGCCCTGCATTTGAACCAGAAACTCTGTCTTGATTCTTCTGGCAGATTCCGACTCATTGTCTGAACGAGATGAACAGAGGGAGTCAACTTCATCAATGAATATAATACTCGGTTTGTGCTGTCGAGCTAACTCAAATAAGTTTTTGACAAGTTTCTCTGATTCACCAAGCCACTTTGAGACAAGATCAGATGAAGATACAGAGAAGAAGGTGGAATTATTAGCTTCAGTAGCCACTGCTTTTGCTAAATATGACTTACCAGTACCAGGTGGCCCAAAAAGAAGAATTCCCTTCCATGGTATTCTTTTACCAGTAAACAAATGAGGAAACTTAATTGGTAGAATAACAGCTTCTTTCAATGCCTCTTTGGCAGCTTCAAGACCAGCAACGTCACTCCATTTGACATGAGGTTTCTCTACAACAATTGCACCTTCTAATTTACTCTGTAGTTTCTTTTTCTCAGGGTCATCGGAATCACTGTCACTATCACTCTTTTTGTCTTCACTCTTAGAATTAGATTCACCATCCTTGACAGGTTTCTTTTTACGATCCTTTTTAAGGTACTCTTTAAGCTTTTCAGCTCGGTCTAAATATTGCAAACACTTTGCTCGGATACTTTCTTTAGCTCTCTCTCCTTGTGCTTCATATTTCACAGCATGCAGAAAATATTCCACTCCATGTTCATACAATCGCAATGCTTCTTCATAATTTTTATTCTTATCCTCTTCAGTAGCTTTTGTGACGAGATCTATCGCTTTTTGTAAAGTATTTGATGAAGCCATTCTCAAATTTTCTGAAAATCAAGAATGAAAATAAATTACATGAATTATAATACATTGTCAATAATCTCATTGTCTATTAGGACAAGAGGGAAAAACTTCAATAATCTCACAAGTATATTTAGTCACAAACCAAACTAATAATAAACTAGAAAAAAGAAAGGCTATGGAAAGTAAATAACATAGAGAATGACAACCATGACCAAAGTATATGAACATGACTTTGAAAGAAATATTTGTCCTCATCATACAAATGAATGCCTATAACAAGATTCAAACCCAGTACCTTTGAAGCAGAATGCAGCAGTACTGCCGTTGCACCAACGGGTACTGAGTTTAATGACATTAATTAGATAGCCTGAATTGACATAAACTTAGACATTTAACATAATTTGTATATGAGTCACAGTGGGACCTTGTATTATTTATCCTCATACTATAAAACTATACATATAAATATCCAACGGACATTTATTGTATACAAACGCACTTCTCTTGCAATCCTGCCAAAATACCAAAAATGCAGTACATTTTGCAACTACATTTCTGATGCTCAAGTACGACTGACAACGAATGAGATCATAGGCGTATTATGCTACACTACAAGTAAATGAATGCGACAATATAAAGTGTGCTAATGTATTTTTACTCACCATTAAACAATTTTAAGTGAAAATATCATTAATTTGCTAATCTTTCTGGAAAAAAGATAAATTTCTCGGAATTGTTTCGAAAAAATTATCAAGAAATGACGGAAAGTGACACCTACCACACAGGGTTGCCAGAAGTGATTTTCTAGCTTCCTCCAGATTAAAAATTATGTAACGCTTAATTTTTTTTATTCAAACCTTTTCAGAAAAACAATCGCAAATGCTTGATTTAGCAAATAAATAAAAGATGGCATACATATTTTTTTTAAATTAAATTATTTTATTCAATTTTATAACTGCAATATTATAAATTGAGCATGTTTTTTTTATTTGCTCCTTTTAGAAGAATCCTTCTAATAGGAGTATATTAAAAGGATTCTTAATGTTCATGATAGGTAGTTCCTGCATTATAAAGGGCAATGGTGCGATGGATGATATCATAACATATCACTGTGTTTGTGTTTGTGCGTCGCGCAATAGTAGCATCAAAAATGATACTCAAATACGGCAGCACTGATAACGTGCACGTCATGTGAAAAAGAGATTTATTGCAGTGTTCATTAGACATTGTTTAATTGTTCAAGACAATGTTTCGCTGAAATTCCACGGGACTTTTTCCTTGACGCTAATGAAGATGTCAGAGTAGAGCTATAGAGTACGGAGAACGAAGAACTTCGCTACGTCATATTTTTTCTAAGGCATGAACGAGTTACGCATGGGCATGAAAATGGACGAATGACTTTTAAAGTGGGTCCATGATTATGTTTTTTTTAATTCGGATTAAGAGTAGCACAATTTTACAAGATCATGTCTTCATGGTGTGAATTCTATTTTAGGGCTTCTCCGTCCATGTTTCTTTTACTACCTTTATGAGCAGCAAATTTCCAAATACAATTAATTTTCACCCATTATTCTCTTTTCTGAAAAAATCTCGCCAAGACCAACAATTTCCGCCAAAATTGCGTATTAAATACCCCACCCAATCTGGCATCACCAAAGACTTAATATAATACCTAGGGCTGTGCACCATCGCGTGAAAAACGGTCCGGGCGAGAGGGCTTCCAATGGTAGTGTGATCCTTTCTAATGAGGTAACCATATTCAAACATAACGCGGGACAAAAGTTATTAGTATTTATTATTTAATATAGCTTGTAAAGAGGATTGTGTTTAGTATCTGCTACTGTCTAAACATGTAAGTAATTTGTGATGATAAGTTAAAATAAAAACAATAAAAAGACAGACTTGACGAATCTAAAGACACTCTAAAAAGTACCTACGAAACAAGGAAGTAACCGCGACCGCGTTATTTAATAATTGATTCATTAAATTCACACAACTCATGTTAACAAAAAAATGGGTGCGTGTACTTATGTAGGCGCGTGAGAAGTTATCCTTCTTTGGCATCGTTTAAAATTAGTTTTTAATAGGCTAGTTGACCCTTTTTGGAAAAAGGTTTTAAATGGTTAATAAATGTTCTATTAGACCGAAAAAAAATGTATTGTATTTTTTTAAACCTAGAAAGCTACAGATCTTTAATTTTAAAATAGACTTTTCATGGACATACAAAAACGCTGTCGGCCATTTTAGTCTATAGATTATCTATGCTATGACGTGAACTGTGGTAAACAAAATCTCGTAAACACGTAGAAAATTACTTTTAACTGAGTTTATGATAAAAAAAACATGATTTCTAATAAATACCACGAAAAATAAAATAATTATCATTACTGTATTGTACGAGAATATAAAAACACATCCTTGAAGACTCCAGGAAAGTTGTGGATTAAAGTGCCGAAAGAAATTAACCTACGCAACTTTATAACACTTATTCATATGTTGTATCTGTTTTATGTTTATTACTACATTCAATGTAGCAATACAATACAATGTAACATTGTAATACTAAATGCACTGTACTTACATAGATGCCTTGACGTTTCTCTGCTCCGCAGAGCAGAAATCGGGGTTTAGTGCAACAAATTCACCAACCATCAATGCGTCAATTCTTGGCAGATTTGTGCTTTCTGCTTTCACAAAGCCGGCATCCATAATTAGTTTTGTCAAAAAAAACTAAGTTTACTGTTTTTTTCTTTCCTAAAGTTAAAAGTGTTTTAAGATAAATTTAGTCAGACGAAAGAATCCACCTACAGTAACACGCGAATGACATTATTAGTTGTTTACCAGAAGAGACGTCAAAATCATGGCGGATGTGGCGAACAGCGTTTTTAGTGTTTAAAAAATATAGACTAAAAAAAATTTTTAAAATTAAATTTCTACAGCAATCTTCTGTTTTTATGAAGTGAAATCGATATATTCAGGTTCCTTAGACTAAATACTTTAAGAAATAAACATTAATTTAATACAATTAGACATGAGTAAACTAGCCTATTGCATGCAAATAATTAATTACAATAAATTAATAAGAAGTCTGGAAAAGGACACAGTCAATAAAGTTCAGTTTTAATTTGAAAAAATAAATAAATAATCAAAATATTCAATTAAAATCGCTACTGAATATAATTTATTAGAACATCACATATGTTCTAATAAATTATTTGTACTTGTATGAAACTCAAACACGTATTCCGAATATACAAACTAGAAACATGTGGATAAATATTATAAATATGAATACCTATAACTGTTACTTTATTACAAAAAATAAAGATGTGGATTTAGGTTCTACTACACCAATGGTCAAGAGATGGCGCTGTAGTCTCCTGAATCGCGCTTTGGTTCCTTTGTTCCAGATTAATAAATACTTTTGATATTATAAATACGAATACCTATAACTGTTACTTTATTACAAAAAATAAAGATGTGGTTTTTGGTTCTACTACACCAATGGTCAAGAGATGGCGCTGTAGTCTCCTGAATCGCGCTTTGGTTCCGTTGTTCCAGATTAATAAATACTTTTGATAGGCCTTCACAATGCAGTCGTTAGCACCCACAAAATAGAGATTCTATTTCTATTTTGTTGGTAGATTTTCTTAATGTGCGGTAAACACAAAAGTAACAGCATGAAGTTGGTCGCTAAAGCGACCGGCTAATTTTTTGTGTTACAGTGATGCGCGCGCATCTTAAAATTTCACTCTCATCATTTTTTCATAACGCGCCTAAAGAAGTATAACTTCAAAAAACTCATCTACCTCCAAAATTCATGGTTCACCAAATGAATATGATTGTAAGTTTTACTTACCCGTGAAAAGAAAAAGGGCTACCGGGATAAGATTCATTGTAGCACCCTGTTACACGTCACGAGTTCCCCATTTAAAAAAATACACTTTAATAAGCAAATTTATAATATTTCAAATCAAAGCGGGTAAATCAATTTAACGATCAAGTGAACAAATCACCAACTTACATTCAGTATTACCAGGCTCAAATATTTAAATACTACTTTTACTCTGTATTTAGATTTATTTCAAAAATATCAATAATTATTTTATTATTTATAGGAACTGTAGAAATGTTTAAATACGTTTCATAGTTTACGAATCGTTCGTATCGGTAATTAATCAGGAAATCACAAATTGAAAAGGATGACATTTTCTACCATTTCAACCAAACCCAATGATAAATTGAGCTGGCAAGACGTTTGAAAGGGACACACTATTGTTGGGTGCTTTCTCACTCAGGACCGTTTTTACTAGCGACCGCTTTTCAAAATAATAGCTATTCTATGGTTAGAGACATATTTACGTGTCGTGTCGTGTCGACGACGCTCTAACCTCTGCTCAAGCTCAAAGCTCTGTCTAACCCATAATAGTTATTTTTTTGTTTCCTCCCTAGGGTGGCGGGTTTGATATCCTTTTGGATACCCTACAGCTGGCTGCAAGGTTACGTCGGAGTCTTACTGACTAAAACACATCCGTAGTTCGTGCTCATGGCCAGAAGGGCCTTACAAGTTTTATCTGAAGCGATCTTTTTATAAAAATGTAACGTTAGCGCGACTCAGAAGTCGTTGCCGTTTGTAATCGGCGTTGTGGAACTAATGATATTTTATTGTGGTTTTTAAATAGTTTTTTTTTAGATTTTGTTGCAATGTAAGGTTTTACGGAACAATAACTTCATCTATGTCACTATTAATGTTTTCTTATAAGGAATTTTCAATAAGTAAGAAATTTTCTTTAACCAAAGTTGAAAGACTATTACTCTTAAACTAACAAATTTATCTTAACCGTTATAATTTTCTTTAAAAATCATGAATTTTTTCAGGTATTTCAAGCTAATAGTTAAGTTTATAGGGGGGAGACGCCCTGCTCGAACAAATATTAGCACCTTATAGTTCAATATTTTGCAAACGAATCTCTCGAAAAATAGTATTAAAAACCCTAAGTAATTTTAAAGGACCTATTATGACACACATGGGGTACATGATGAAAATAAATATACCCCAGGTTATGTAATCTGGGGATGATTGTAGAGGAGCGAACCTAAAAAATATTTTTCAAAATTTCATTCTACTATTTTAACGACGTGATCATGGTCAATATACATATCTTCACAAAATTACAGCTCTCTAGTACTATAGTCTACAAGCAAAACCGGGAACGGACGGACGGACATGACGAAACTATAAGGGTTACTTGTCAGGACTACGGAACTCTTAAAAGGAGAAAAATCAAAAATATTCATATTCTTTTTCTTAAATTATTAAGACGTATAGACGCAATATCGTTTGCCTTCCCATAAATAGAAAATATTACAGAAAAAAAATTAAGGAGAAACTTTGAGCGGTTCTTTGGGTGTTTTTGGCGGGATTTCATCGAGTGCGGTTGGCGTCTTATTTTAATTATTCTTAAATTTGTTCATAGTGGATAGGATATTGTGAAATAAAATTGGTGTGATTTTGTGTTACAACCGTCTGCGCAACTGAAGAGTTAGTGGAATCTTTAAAATATACGCTATTCCGGTCAAGTGGACGTGAGAATTTTATTGTAGTATTGACTACCTCACAGAAGCTTATCGAAAAAGCCAACTCGATATATTTCGTGCCAAACACTCCAAGGAGCAGTAGAATGCGTCACACCCACATTCTAATGTAAAAAAAAAAGATTAATACAAAAATAAGACGATGGCTGCATGGCTATGCCTTTGCCTTTCTCAATAGAGAACTAAAAAAAAAGCGGTTCTTTGGCGGGAATTTCAAGCAGTAGTACGCTATTTTTTTCATAAAATATATTTTCTTGTTATTTACAAGGTAACTTTTCATTATATATAGTATATATATTTTTATTTTTTAAGCCTGTTGTTTAAATCTAAAGAAAATATAACTAGAAATAAAATCCACGCGGACCAGGCAGCAGACGGAACTCGAACCCGCACCCCTCGCTATCCGGGCGAATGCACTAATCAATTATGAAATTCTTCTAGCCATTCTTAAGCTGCAAGGCAGCACCATCTCTTCGCATTATAGGTAACCCTCAATGTCAAAAGAATACTTTTACAAGTATCAAACATTAACGAACGCGCACCCTTCGCTATCCGGGCGAATGCACTATTCGCCCGGATAGCGAAGGGTGCGGGTTCGAGTCCCGTCTGCTGCCTGGTCCGCGTGGATTTCTTTTCTAGTTATATTTTCTTTATACCTCACAGTAGTTTGAAAATGGTATTTATTTAACTTTGAATAAAATATGTTAGACAGCGAGACTGGGGGTGACATCCCCCCGGCCAATCCAGGCTCGGGATCTTCGGGGAAACGACCAAGAAGAAGACACTTATCGGGCGAAGATCCTAATGCTATTGGCGACGGTGAGGAAAGTACAGACGTTATACCCTATAACTTTAACTTGACTAAAAGGCTATATCCAGAAAATTCAACTAACTTTGAGTATAAACTGTTCGTAGAAAGCGACAAAAAAGAACGTTTGGGTAACAACAGTACTTTAATCACATTTTTATTAATGATATTAAAGACTTGGTGACCATTCACCATGTAAATGCTAGCAAAATTGCAATAATATTCAAGCAGTTTAACACTAGACTCAACTTTTTTATGCGCAGATCTAAAAAAAAATTGTCGCGAAAGAGTCCCCTTACCAACTGTAAGCATTACTTTCCTGGCAAATAATCTACCTCACCATATATAATATAATTTACTTTCATAGTACCCGAATACGTCCTTCTTCTGCAACGATGCTATCTGTGGTGCTATAGCTGTTTTATATTCAACCATTCAGCAAAAATATGTAACGGCCTCTGATTACACGGCAAACAACGCTGTAATATATGTTCCCGCAAACTTTTCTACAAAGACTGTGACAAGCCGAATGATCTTTGTTATGCTAACTGTAGTGGCCCCCACTTAGCCATATCGAATTTTTGTAAAGTCAAAAATAAAAAATCTGAGTAAGCTAAGATGCGAATATTAGTAACTATTTTCATGAGCTTAACTCTCTCTGCATAGATAGATAGATAGATAATTCTTTATTGAACACACCACATCATAAAGTAACAAATTAGGACTATAATTTAAAAAAGTGGACAATTGGCGGTCTTATGGCTATGTAGCTATTTCATCCAGACAACCATAGGATGGAGAGACGAAATTTAATTAAAGCGGGGGTGTGCGATTATAAAACTAAATTAGAAAAAAAAAGGAAAACAAAATATAACCATGATTAAAATCACTGTTACATTAAAATCAAAATAGAAACTGATAAAAATTCAATTAAACAAACAAAAACATATATTGGTACATAAAATAAAATACATATTTTAACTAAATTTAATAATAATAATATGATGCAAGCAAGAACAGGAAGAATGCATGGGAACAACACAATCAATTATTGTAGAAGGAAAAAATCCTTTACCTCACTTTTAAACTTTCCTATAGTCTGTGCACGTCTAATCTCAACAGGAAGAGAGTTCCAGAGGCGCACAGCTTCAACACAAAAGGAATATTTATAACAGGAGGTATTGTGTACAGGAGTTTTAAGGCTCAGATTCTCTGATGAGCGTAACGTCTGGGTATGGTATGGTATAGTATATATGAGTATCCCGGCGACGACAAATTGGAAGCTACTTGAGTTGAGGGCGATACTGGGAAACGTGATCATATTTTCATAAACCAAATATGAACCTGATGCAGAAATTTTAAAGGCGCTCAAGTTTATTTAGCTAGTCCTCCGTAAGGTCAGGATAGCAGGCGTCAGCATGATCAAGGACTGGACGCAACAGAGATTGAGATAACATAATTTTAGTGGCAGTAGGTAAAAAGTTACGTAGTCTTCTTAATGAACCAGCAGACGCATACAGCTTCCGACTTACAGCTTGTAGCTGTGACTCCCAGCTCAATGTACTGTCTAATATCACTCCCAGATTTTTCGCCGTTGTACTATAAGGTATATCAGTTCCTTTGAATTTTACTTTAGGAAGAGCAATCCAGTTAATTAGTGACAATAATTTGGAGCTACCCACTACCATAACTTGAGTTTTAATAGGGTTAACATTAAGGCCAAAAGCTTTACTCCATTCTGCAATTCGACATAGATCAAGATTGGTTTTTAATACTGCTTCTTCAAGTTTTTCAAGTGGAGCCTGGCAATATATCTGTAAATCGTATCTGTAGATTGAATTAATTGATGTTGCAAAAAGAAGAGGAGATAATACGCGGCTTTGCGGAACGCCAGCAGACGTGTTGTACCATGACGAGAATTGGTCATCAAGGCGAACACGCTGCCTACGCCCATGCGATAACTGCGAAACCAGTCAAATACCGTTGGAGATATGTTAAGAGAGCGTAACACGGATAGGAGAACATCAAAGGTGTTACAAGCGTTACTAAAGTCCAATAAAGTAAGCACAGTTAGGCGACTATTATCCATACCAAGTCGTATAACATCAGTAACCTTAACTAAAGCACTGACAGTGCTATGGCCAGGACGAAAGCTTGATTGGAGTGGATTAAGGAGATTTTGGCTAGTAAAGAAAGAAAAGGTATTCTGTAAAATGAAATCTTACTTACGGTCTCTTTTATTCGGATTTCTGATTAATGTCAAATATCTAATACTGGCTGCTTTTACAGGCAAAGCCACATTTTTCTGTGTAATGGCTTAATGCATATCAAACTAATGTCTAAAATGGCAGCTACCGAAATCGGAAGTGAGATTTTATTTTACAAAATCGCCCTCAGATTGATGATTGATTAATACGCAGATCGGTAAAGTCAGTTTTATTTAATATATCAAACCAAATACAACATACATAATGAACCTCATATTATATACTAATTAAGCTAAAGAAGATTTTTCAATAAATCTAGTTAAATATTTCATATTTGAGTCCCTTATTTTGCATCAATCGGTCTTCTATATTCGTATCCCGGAAAGCTGCACCAACACCGAGTACTCCACCCCTAAAATAAATACGGATATGAATTTACATTTGCATTCTGTGAGATTTGTCTTAGCATATTTAATTAACTATTTGTAACCCTGCAATCCAAAGGATATTCGTGAACCGTTTTCTTTGGAAAAGTCTTTTAAGCCGCTAGATCCATGGGTGAGAGAATCGCGTTTACAAATACTCCAAGGAAACTCCCACATAGAGATTTTATAATTATAATGAGGTTAATACCAATAGGAACGACCAATAAGAGATATTATAGGTACTGGACGAGCATAGAGTTTGTAATATAGAGTCGCGGACTTGTGGTGTCTCGCGGCGACACCGCACCGTCATTTTAAAACACCGCAGTATCTCCGCCGTGAGACAACAGTACAAAAAATATTTAAGTAATGTAATATTATTATTATTCCAAGGTGTTTCGTGTTTTCCATGTTTTTCGTTTAAAAGTGATTTGATTTGACATTATACGGCACTCTAGAGAATTTAGATGAGTCCGCACTTACATCGGAAAATTAAACAGGCATAATAATAGTGAGCATGATTGTCTCATTTATCGTATAAAAATTATGGTGTTAAATACTATTTGTTTTAAGTTCAGTCAAGAAACACAAGTAATTGTTAATTAAGCGTTTAAAGATATTGGTCAAAGTTTTTAATGTTGCTCTGTTCGAATATAACAACAAGAAAAGTAAGTACAGCATAAAACTTGATACAACAGAAACAAAATGCTATTGGCTGCATTAGTACATAGGCAGTAGGAGTTACTCACTTTGGTATTTTCGCATTTTCAACTAACAACGTAAGAGCAGAAATCACCACTGCAATAGAAGTTGTTTCATAACCAGGATCAGATCCGGAAACCTATAAGTAGCAAACGCTTATTAATCAGACAAAATATAAGTTCTTTCGAAATTTTGCTGATTTCTCAGAGACTTATTATTTAAACGTTTATACAGGGTTATTTGTAAAACACTCGTAACCTTACTAACGTCATATAATAAAAACGTTGGTCTAGTTTTTTCGTTAATTTACAAGTTTGATAAATATTAATAAATTGAATTAGAACTCCTGTCTGGGGAAGTAACTTCCACGGTAAACAACGGTGCGAGGGATATTTTTGGTATCGCAAGCGTCTATAGACTATGGTGGCAACTTACCATCAGGCGAGCCATACGCTTGTTTGCTCTTAACGATAAAAAAACGTTTATTTTAATACAGAAATAAATATTAAATGAGACCACGCGATGCCCGCCTTCATAGAACGTATAAAAACGGAAGAACCGCTGTGCGCGAACTTAATTTCCTTAAAATAGGGGAGCCCAAGCGGGGATTTTTGGATATACTCGAGCGCGGCAGAAAAACGTAAGTGGGAAACCTTGCACCTTGTGAAATACGCCCACCATACTTGAACCATTTTTATAGGGCCGAACGTCTAGGGCGGCAATCCTCCAGTAGCTTCTATTCAAAAGACTGACGATTTAGAAGCAAACAAAAGTATTGGCCGTGCTGTCCCAGACCTTCAGCCCTACATAGAGGGCTCAGGTTTAGTGGGAGCACTTCACAAGGTGCAAAGTGCCCTTCTTATGTTATTCTGCCACGCTGGAGTAAATCCAAAATCCCCCGCTTGGGCTCCCCTTCTATTAATCTTCGATTAATCCCTCAAAGTGGATCGCGGAAAGAGATAAAGTTATACAATAAAGTGCTTGCACCGAATACCTATGTATGTATATTTATAACAAATACTCACTTGAACTTTTAAAGATTTTTCTTTTAAATCTTCACCGACGCCTTTCCCTAACAACGTTAACTTAAATTTTGTTTCTTTGGCGATTTCTTCTGTTGGTCCTTTATGTGAGACATATCCTAATGTGAAAAATCCCGGGAATTTGACTAGCAGCTTTCTGAAGCACTTAAAGTAGGACAAATAATAGTAAAGGAACATCGCCGGAACTATAATTAACATTTGGAAGAACATTGGAGTGGCTGTGTACAGTTTGCAATGGTAAGGTTTCTTCTTTTTCGTCTCATATAAATATCTTTGGGACATCTCATTTACATCTCTGTCAGGTCCAGGGTAAGGAAACCAAAATTTTCCCCGTTCTCTGTGGAAAAATGACCTAAAACAGATATTCATTAGTAGACAAAGAGTTGTTTTTCCTATGTATATAGGTACCCTATATCAATAATAGTATTTTAGAATAAAATGTAATATTTATTAACTTTTAATTTAGTAAATTATCCTTCTAGTCCTACTTCTTACTTATATTATAATTGTGACATATTTTTTGTTTATTTCTCAATCACGTAAAAACGGCTGATCGAATTTGGATGAACTTGAACACAGAGACAGCCTATGATCTGGAAAGAGACATAGTATTATATCTCAGAATAATTTTAGGTTACTTAAAGATTTTTTTTTAAAACACACCTATTAGCTTGACCCCAAAGTAAGCACTGTAAGGCTTGTTATGGTTTACTAGGGTAACAAATTGAATACATATACTGTACATATATAAGTATATTTATATAGAAATACATCCATAACCGGAGTACTAATGCTCGTATTCATCACACAAATATCTGCCCCCACCGGGATTCGAACCTGGGATCTCTCGAGGTGGCGACACACCATGAAACCAGGCGTATAAACCACTCGGCCACGGAGGCCGTCCAAAGGATGTAACAGTGTGGCATTGCCGCAACCGTTCTCTTTGTTTATATCCTCATATTCGACCTTCATGGCCTTCATTAATTTTAAAAGATTCGTTTATGGTTTTTATTCAGTTCGAAATGCAATTCCGTCAAGGCTGTCAGAAATAATTTCGTTGGCAGTCCCAAAAATTTTAATCTTTTTCAGTCCAGCAGAAATCTCGTAAAAGAAACATAAATTCTCGTAATATTTATATGGCGTATCGAAAGTTTGGCACCAATTGTTGTTAAATAGTAAATAATAAAATTAGTTACTACCTACAAACCCCTACTGGTAAAAATTAAATGGTTTTTTTATTAATTACCGTTTATTTATCTACGGGACAACCGATATGTTTCTAAGTTTATACCGTGTGTTGTTACAGATTTCTTTTTCTACCTTTTTAATAAACTATTCAACCTTATTGTTGGCGGATTATATTTGTTCTATTCCGAACGTACCCCCTCTACCGACGGCTGCCGTCTTAGGGATTTTCAAAAACTAATGTTATTTTTTTCGATAAAGGAAATTCAAGTTTATTCATTTAATATATTAAAAACACATCGAAAACTACTAAGGCTTAAATGATGGGTCAAATTTCGTCGCATACCACAATTTAAAACTCTCCTAACCCATCATTGTCACTTAACCTAATTGAAAACAAAATTCTAAGTTTACATTTTATATTATATTTAGTAAGCTTTTGAGTAAAGTCTGGGTTCATTTTGTTTTATGAGACGTTAGTCGGCCGAAGTCACAGGTGGCTCTTATTTTATAAAAAGTTATAAAATCTATTGTTTTTTATATTATTTAAGCATATAAGTAGATAACTGCTGAGCCGGTTCTCGAAGCAAATCGATTAGTCCAGAGAGGATTGTACAACCATGGTCATGCATGCATTTGCCAATCATGAATTGTATACATCAGTGCGTGAAATAAACTCATTAATAAATTCGTCACGCGGTTGCTTCAGCTTAACGCACTCTATTTGATGAGATATTAGAACATAAATTTTACGTTGAACGCATCAGTCATCGTTGTGAAGGAATAGATTAAAAACTTCGTAAAGTATCTACCTAGATACTTTACACGATATACAGTGTTTGCGAAAGTCGCCGGTTTTTTACCTAAAAAAAAGGTGACTTTCGCAAACACTGTATATTATAAGGACATATAGAGGGCTTACATCCGGTTTCTGAAACGCATGTCAAATATTGAATTAGTTGACAGACTGTCATAATTAACTATTTGTTGAGCAACTGTGGGTTTCTGAAAAGCTATTTACCGAAAAATTAACGAATCTACTGTTAAGGCAGGATTTATTTATTAGTCTGGCCACCCTAGCTAAAACCAGTCACTTTCATTCGATCATTCATGTTTTGTTTCTGTCTAACGCATAGCTTTGTCTCTATCTTTTGACAACTTATAAGTGACTTTTATTTAGAAGACAGAAAAATAGAAGCGATTGTGTGTACCGAAAACATTGAAATTTATTTTCATTTGTAAAGTTTTTACATAATATGTCACGAAAAAACTATACGGAGCGAGAAAAGAGGGAGCTTTTAACAATAGTGGATAAGTAAGTACCTAATAGGTACTAATCAGTTGTTCAAATCAAGCTTTCTAATCTATACAAAGAAACCGATCTGCTTTTGGTATTTATAAATATATTGATAATATATATTTCAATGTAGGTACAAAGAAATAATAGAAAATAAGTCTACCAATGCAGTGACGGTGGAAAAAAAACGTGACTTGGAAAGAAATTGAAGAATTTAGAAATAAAAATTAAAGAATTGGAATTTACTTCTAAAGCAAATAAAAAGTAAAATAATTATAGTGTTAAATCTGATATAAACTACAATATAAAGATGTTTGTTTGTTTGTTTGAACGCGTTAACACCAGGAACTGCTGAACTGAATTGAAATATCCTTTTTATGTTGGGTTAGCCATAATTGTAGGAAGGCTTTAGTGTACAATAATTGTTCGTTTTAAGTTCCAGGTGTGTCAGTTTTCCCATTAGTTGATGGAAAACAGATTTTGAAATCCTGTAGCGATCCTTAAATTCTTCATCATTGTAATGAATTACAGGATTTATTCGTTTCTGGAACTGGCGAGTTGGTGCCAGATCTTCCTCGTCACTAGATAGGGATATATCGTCAACAGATAAATCTGACAACATTTTTTCAACAATCCTCTGACCAAAATATCAGTAAAATTTCTTTTGACAGTCTGTTAATTGATAAATTTTCACCAATTACTTATTAAAACACAACAAAACGTTAACATGCAGTTAACATACAAAAAAGCTTTCCGGAAACCAAAAACTACCGCAATCGGCCATTAATTCGAGATTTGACATTTGCAACAACAAATTATTGACAAACTGTCACTTGGCTCATTGAGAAACCCAAAGTGCATTTAAATAGAGATTAACAATTTGTTACGTAATTTTTTCGATGACATGCGTTTCAGAAACCGTGTGTTAGTGTATGTTATAAATTGTTTACCATAACAACCAAGCGTGCGTCTTAAACTTATGGACGTCTTTGCTATAATGTATTTTATTAGATTTTACAGAATAATGCATACTAATTTGAGTATATTAAGAGTTCTGTTAACTATACAGGAACCGAACCGAATAAAAGTTCTTCTTTTATGAAATATAAATGTATAAAAAATATTTTAAGAAATAATATAATTCTTTAATTATTAGGCTCTTCTGTCAAATTGTCATTGAATGTTTGTGTGTGTATGTGGAAAGTGTAAACGTACGTTTTTAATACAGTTGCTCAAAAAGTGGCATATTGCAGTGTAACGTGTTAAAAACGTCACATGGATCTCCTTCGCTCGAAGAGCGAGATAGAAGATTTTTTTGGTTGTCTCTCTGGTCGTTTTTTATCTCGCGCCTATTTTCTTTAATCTGTGCACTTTTGGGTAAGTGTGTTTCTGCCTTTATCGAGCAGTAGGCTGAATGGACGTTGTTCTCTTTGCCTACCGCCAAGACAAACTAAGAAAAGAACTGTCACTTCACTTCACGACCAAAAATTTTACATAAAACATGTAAGAATCTAAATCGTAATTTTTATCATGATAATCCATTGGATTTTCAATTGTTTTTGATGATGTAACATTTTGCACCTTTTGTTCGGAACGGCGGGTATCGCATTCCAAGCTTAATTTGTTTAAAAAACGCGAAAAGCGTTTTTTTTTTTATTTGGATTTTATAATCAACTTTCAACATTTCCCATGATGAGAAAGTGAACAGTCCCGTGATGTAACAGCGACATCCATTTAATATTACAATTGACACCAGACACAGCCACTACACAGATGCAACAAGTTCGGTAACTTTCCAAATTCATTGTTGTACCGGAACCCATAAGGTAAAATTTTCATTTACATTTTAGCAGCCATAGTATAATAAGTAGTTTCTAAATTTAGCAGTAACCCTTTTGGATTTAAGTAGTTTTGTAGTAAATTTAAATAAATCGACAACCCAAAATGAATATGGTTTTGCAATCAAGCCTTCTCTTGTGATTAATAGTCCATTGCTTTCCCGGCTAATATGGTATAATAATATGGTAGGTCTGGCGCCCGAGTATTCTTTTTTTCATTAATTTCGACCTATCCATTTAAAGTAATTTTCAAAACAAACTTTTATTTTTTAATATTACAGCAGGGACGTGTAGCGTTCGGGATCTGGGCTATTTCACACTCGTGCTTTTTTTTTGCCTTTCCCGAACTCGTGCGTTTTCTTTCCCAACTGTCAAAATTATTTCTATTAAAAAAAAACAACCATGAAGTTTGAACTAAAAAAAATCATAGAAGTTTTTGCGATTCATGCAAATAGGTTTATTTGTTTTTAAAAAGAAGCTACCTATACTAATTTGTCCAATATCAGAATTAATTAATTGATTCAATGAGTTAGGTAAGGTTTCAGTTCATTTCATATCATTAAATTTCAATTTCATTTCTTATAATAAAAAATACTAAGAACTAAAGACTTGGCTGTATGGGCAGTTCCCTTTGCCTACCAGAATGGGTGAAAAAATACTGCTTACATTCTACGGTTGGCGCCATTTTCCGAAATTTTCTTTGCGAGTTTAGTTGTTTTTTACACAAAATGAGTAATTTCGACCTAAATTTTTTTGAATTAACTCCACCGGAACTCAGTATAATTGCACAAAATGCTTCGGAGAACATTTTACCGGAAAAGTCAAAAATTCGCTACATATCTACATACGATGAATTTATTGCGTGGAAAGAAGAGAAAAAAGCAAATAGTTTTTCAGAAAATGTTATGTTGGCATACTTTTCCGAACTCTCAGCAAAATTAAAACCTTCTACGTTATGGTCAAGGTTTTCGATGGTAAAAAGTATGCTGAAAATAAGGAACAACGTGGATATAAGTCAATATCCAAAATTAAATTCTTTCTTAAAACGACAATCAGACGGGTTTACCAGTAAAAAGTCGAAAATATTAACATCGAATGACGTGGAAAGGTTTTTGAAAGAAGCTCCCGATGATTGTTATTTAGCCACAAAGGTAATTTATTAATAAGTATACATATCTACATTTTTCTTTAGTGTTCAGTTTACAAAATCGCAAAATACAGTCAATACATTATTTATATGAATCAAATCGTTTTTTTTAGGTTGCTCTGATTTTTGGCGTTGTTGGAGCTTGCCGCAGAGAGGAGTTAGCCAATATTACTTTAAAAGATATTGAAGCCCATGGAGAAATGCTACTTATCAAGATTCCAAACACAAAAAATAAGATACCGCGAAGCTTTGTTGTTGAAGGAGATTTTCTCACAATAGTGAAAAAATATATGAACCAGCGGTCCCAAAAAGGAAAATCCGACCGTTTTTTTCAAAATTTCCAAAAAGGGAAGTGTACAGCTCAAGTAATCGGCATAAACAAATTTGGTAATATGCCAAAAGAAATAGCTACGTTTCTTGGTCTGCCGGATGCTGAGTGTTATACTGGGCACAGCTTCAGAAGGACCTCTGCTACATTATTGGCAGATTCAGGAGCCAATTTGACGTCCTTAAAGCGACTAGGTGGTTGGAAATCGGACAAAGTTGCAGAAAGCTATATTGGTGATTCATTAAACAACAAACTAGAAACTGGGAAAAAGATCACACAATCCATTAATTTAAGGTCCAGTCCGTCGCCTTCACATGCTGAAGAGAACGTTCGTCCATCTACGAGTACCTTCGTTGATAATGATAATTCATCAGATCCAATTCCATCAACTAGCAAACGCCATTGTATGACAAATATACATGAACAATCATACGAAATTAATAATAGTTTGTCTCAAACAGTAAATATGCAACGTAAAACTTCCCCAGTTAGTATAAAAAACTGTACCAATTTCAATGTATATGTGAATTATAACTTTTATAAGAAATAAATGATTAGTTAATTGAGTTTATTGTGTTTTTATAATTTGATTAAATTGATTCATTTTTTCGCAACTGTATTAAAAATAGTCGTTCAGTACACGTACGGAACCGTCATTGCAACTCGTTCCGACTGTCAACCCTCGCCTTCGGCTCGGGTAGACATTTGTCAGAACTCTTTGCAATGACAACTATTCCGTACTAGTAATGAAATATACTATTGTGTACATGAGTGAATACTAACGTTTGACTTCATAATGCATTTAATGGATGACTTTGAGTAAGCCTAGAGTTTCTTCATATGAAAAGGAATTAATTCAAGCAACTATCTTATTTATACATTAATTCCACATATTTAACTTATTAAGTAACAAGTTATTTTTATACGCGAAATATTATGTAAAGCACGTTTATAACACATTTGCTCGTAAAGCGTCACTTATTGCACCAATTTCAATATCATAATCTATCACATTACACACGCGTGCGGTAATGTAAAGTAAAACGCACGGCTTATTATGTTCCGTCTAAAAAAAAACGAACGATACTTTTTTAAATTTTAGCAAAGAATTTTTATGACAGAAAGGTAGTCAAACATTTTTTTAATAAAATTAACTTTGGGAGATAAAATATAATATATAAACATAAGTACGTACGTAGGTAGTATTATTTCCTCGCAAATGTGTTATAAAACGTCGTATGACATACGTGTGGTTTGATAATTACAGCCTCTGCCTTCTTATAGCCCTAACCTACGGCTCGGAAGTCCGTCCGTCCGTCCGTCTGTGGTGCTGTTTCAGCGGCCAAACCGTAAGAGATAGATAAAGAGAATGTTTAAGTTATAAGTTAAGAATAGTCTGATAAGACTACAAACCGGATTTGAGTAACGTAGCACTTCCGGTTTTCGAGAAATCACGAATTTCAAACGAAACCACACAAAATCTCCGAAGTTCTCAATTAATTAAATACTTTTTTGTTTTTTAATCAAGTTTTGGTGAACATTTGGTTCACTGGTTTGCTAGTAATGTACTATCAAGCCACGCACTGTTACGCAGAACCGGTTCTGTGTGTTAAACCCAGTTAAACTTAAACCAAACAAGATTATTCACCTTGTTAAATATCAAACTATAAATATATCTGGCATTGACCGTTATTTTGTTATAGTTTTAAGCAAGTGAAACTTTTTTAAATGTTGTTTAAATTAACTTGCTTATATAGCACCGTGTCACTTAAACAAACATATTTAATGAGATTTACAACATGAAGACATGGATTTATCGCTTGAAACCAAAAACTGGCGAAGTCAGACTCACGCATTTATCACATCTATACAACATGAGACACTATATAATAATATCGTGAAAAATACGGTATAAAAATCACGTCTGTTGTATGTGAGATCGCAACAAACAGCGAAGGGAAAAATCATTTGTTTGTTTTCGTAACAACTTACAAAGTACTTATAAATTGGCTTTTTTAATTGAAATTTAAACTAAATATTCGGCTTTGGGTAAGTATTCTCGATAAAATACCAACATTTCAGTTCTTTAACTATTTGACCGTTTACGATCTATAGAGGCCCGTGACATACAGATTGAGAGACAACAGAGTGACAGCTAGGGACCCGTTTTCACCCTTTGCGTACAGTACCCTAAAATACTTTACAGTGCTAGTGATATCTAGTGTGGCCTAGATATCACTAGCACTGTAAAGTATTCCAATACTGTGTGAATGACAATGATCCATTGTTTTTTTATTTCTAAAGTTTTCTCTATAATCTTAAATAAAATAGGAAGTCAATCTTCTACCCTTTATTAATAAACGAGGAATATGCTTTTTTATCTCTTCATATTTATGTTATAATTCATTAAAACGTTCTGCGGGGCTATTCTGTAAAATTTTCATGCGCGGATCCGATGCGGAAACGCGCGGATCCGCGAAAATTTTACTAAAAAGCCCCACTTGTCACAAGAGTAGGTACGGTTGGTTTTCCAAGTCTTTTTTAAATGTCTTTATTTAAATAATAAATCAAAAATTAGTCTACAAAAAATCACGGAACGTTACATTTTATCATCAGCCTATGGACACAAAACTATGGACGTCCACTACTGGACAAATGCTTCCTCTAGAGACATCAATCCAGTTTACATACAACAGGCCTGCGCTTTCTACATCCAGTGGGTCCCACCGACTCGCTTGTCGCCATGTCGTCTGTCCAACCGGTAAATGGTCTAACGACACCACCTGCCAACGTTGGTGTCTTAGGTCCCCGTTATCTTTAGTTACGAGTTATTTTCTTATTATTTTTCCTTTTCCTTAACTTAAATCACGATACGATTCAAAAACTAGTCTGTAGGCTTATTTTAAATTCACAACCCCCAACCAAGGCCTATTGCTTTTTTCTTAGGTGCTATTGCTAGGTAACACTGATGTGGTGGGATTTCAGAGTTCTTTTTACTTTAAATAACTATGAATAAATATTATTGAGAGTTGATAACATTACCGTGATTACAAAGTATTGGCAATTAGGCTGGCTACTCTGCAGGCCGGTTGGCCTCACTCCAATATTCATCATAATTATATCAATGGAAAACTTTTATTACATTTTGCAAGATTTATTTATTCTTATACTCATTATAGATACCTACATTGATGGGAATTTGTTATTGTCCGTAATTATATTATTCTGTATAAAGATTTCAATTTAGCTTCCCATGTACCGCCTTTTGCAGGTAATTTAATTAAACTTGGGGTTTTATTCTATTCCCTCAAATTCCAGTCCTGTCTGATATCTAGACCAAGTAGATGTTTTCTGATAAAGAATTCTTTAGCTTTTTGGAAATATAGTAGTTCATTCTTTCACTTATAAGTAGGTAACCAAAATACAACAAGTGCGTTACCTTTTGAGTCCAGCCGGTTCTGGAGGATACATATTGTGCGGAAAGGTTTCCGCTTTCAAACGTTGATATTCTCTTAGGTTTTGTAGTTCGTGCACCAGAGACTCCCATGTCCCAAAATGTATGACGCATTTTCCCGGGAAGTTTGCCCTTTTAGGTAAAATTATATCAAAGTAACCTTCCACAGTGTCCAATGTACCTATAAATATCAAAATGCATAATAAATAAATGGTTAATTGCATGCAAACATATACACATGCTTACTCGTGGATAAAAAAATTAGGCCACCCCTATATTAATGATTTAGGTACCTACAAGGGCGGAACCAGGGGGGGGGTCATGGGGGTCATGACCCCCCCCTGGGCTGGGTACAGATGGACCAAACCCAGGGGGATTTTATTTAAGTACTTTCAATATTTAATATACCACGACTATATGACCCCCCCCTGGCGCCAAAGCTTGCTATATGACCCCCCCCCCCTGGTGCAAAAGCTGGATCCGCCCTTGGGTATGATCCATGAATAATGTTCAGTTTAAATGTTTTAATTTTACTATTATATTTTGAATGAACGAGAAAACGATCAATAAAAATATTCTAGAAGTCTTTAGTTTCAAACACATTCACGAAGAAAAACTAGTTTGGTAGGCGTCTTTTTTTTGTCCACTATTAGGGGAAATCCAGGCAAGATACATAGTGTGAGTAAGTCGAATACTCGATTTCATTTTCGAGCTTTTGCTGATCAGGTTTATTTTTATATGATTTCTATAGTTAGCTTTTTGCACATCACCATTAAGTAGGTCTGCCATCTCTAAAATGTGGCAACCAGGATAAGATGCATGATAACCCTGTATTTTGGAGCCCTGAACCCGGACAGACCAATAAAAAAACAGTTTAAAATGTCACAAATCAACTTTTTTATGTTGATGTAGGCAAAAAAGCTAGCAGTCCACCTCATAATAAGTGGTCACTGCTGCCCATGGACACTTGCAACATCAAAGGCCACAAGGAAAAGCTTCATCCGTCTTTTGAGATAACCATATATAAATAATATAACAATATAATATAACCATAGCTGTAAGAAAAAAATACTAAAGGAAGTTCGTTTCAGTTTTTGCTGGTACGCAAAAGAAAGGAACACATGGTGCTCGAACGCCAGGCGTCCAGATGGTGGGCGTGAAACTTCTCCGCGGTGTGTGGTGCTGTGAAGAAACTTGGCCACTGGCATCCGGTTGAATAATTCCTCGGAAGATTCTCCATTGCATAGACGGTACAACACGTACAAGGAGTTGCGTCCTTGTGCGTGTTGTACTGTCTGCGCATACTAAGGGGTCGCAACGCGTGAGTGAGCTCAGGATCACTGATAAGTCAAATTGCCCGCTTTTGTATTCGGTCAAGAGGAAGGAGCTGGTATTGGGGTGCTCCAGCCCAGAGGACCAGTTCTTTGTACAACAACACCCGATATTTTGGCTTGAGGTACTTACTAGATATTTTGAGCACAGCATTTTTTCACACACACTTGTGATTTTACTGGGTATTAACCCAGGATTACCAATTGGATTACCAGTCAAATTTTGTTGGCTCCAATTTAAGTCTTGATCCAGTAACATCTCAATGTCGGACACAAGCCTGTCTTTACACCCTTCTACTTCCATCCGAAGGATGTTTGACCGACCAGTGTAAAAAGTGTCAGCGCTGTCATCCACATAGCAACGAATGCTGTTATTGCGTACCTACAGCGTGGGTGACAGAGCTGATCTTTGTAGTAAGTCAGCATTCATGGTTAAAGTGTTAGAATAGATTTATTTATTTTTCAAAGACATTTAAATTGACGGATTATTTGGTGACCCAAAACAGGAAATTTTTAAACACGGACTACAAATGAAACCTCGCCCGGACGCGCCCCGGACGCCCTATAAACTAGGACAAATCCGGGGAAACCCGGACGCATAGCAGCCCTAGCATTAAGAAATTATCTGTGTTGCCATTGATTTAAATGTTTGAACGACGTTTTTATGTGGTACAAGTGGATAATAATGTCCATTTAAATGTTTAATGAATTTGGTATATTTTTCTTCAAATAAATGCAGGATAATACCTGACGTACACGATTGGGCAGAGTTGTATGGAAAAAAGAATGGATCCTTTGTGTGTTTCTTTTAGCTTTTCTCTTAACATAATCATCTTGCCCGGGATTTCCCTATATCTACCCTTATACCTACATCAAAAAAATCTAATGGCGGCTTCAAACGTATTTTGATATTTATAAAGAAAGATGATTATGTAATTACGAGACCTGTCAATGGTCATTCTTCTACACAAAACAACCTTGGAGTTGTTTGTTTTAATTATTGATAATAACTTGGCTTTTAATTTTTACCATTGTTTCAATTACATTTTTAATGACTTCGAGAGATGAAGGTTATTTCACACGATTTATAAGTTTGTAATCATATTGAATATGCATAATATGTCAATCTACCTGAGCTTCTAAAATATGTTAGTCCATGCTAAGGGGTTCGTATTTCATATTTATAAATGGACGGTGGAAAGGTATGAACTAAGCTGGGATTAGAATCTAGGTGATTCCAATCCCAGCTTAGTTCATACCTTATTGTTGTATGTTCATACCTTACATACGTTAATTCATTCGAGTTTCGATGTGGAAGAAGCAGAAATATTTGGTCAGGTGAGCAAGTCGAATGAGTGAAGAAATTAAGAACTTTGGTTGCATCACGCAGACGAAGCCTTCACTGATACACATTCACAGTCACTTCACCCACTTAGTGACACACAACACGTTTTATCAATATGCACAAACACATATCTTTTCCGCATTATTTAGTAACACAAAATTAATTTATTTTATTATTGAAAATTTCATTTCTCAAGTATTTTTTATAGTTACGCATAGTGTTTTAAGAACCTTGATTTTGTGGCATGTCCTTTTTATTCCGAATTACTATAGATTAAGCTATCATAAACACTGAAAAACTATTTACATAAAAAATCTACGATATGTAGTTTTTGAGAGAAAAAAAATTAAAGGTAACCTACTTTCGATTCGGAATTAAAAAAAGTACAATGTTACTGTTCTGTGAATCATATTTTTAGTTTTGATGAAAGGTATGTTATAGGGCTTTATATAAAGGATTTTTAAAATTTGAGCCTTCTAAAGAAAACCATATATACAATATGTTTAATATTTCTATTTTTTTTTTCTAGAGTATAAAGTCGTATCTGGATGAATTTTATACACTTGAATATCGAGCTTTGTTGTCTGTATACAGTTTTGCTTCGCAACCAACTACCGCGTCATGCAGAACTTACAAGTAAATTTATTATTATATAAATTAAATTAATTTAATTACAGTTATGAAAGCATTTCGATTTCAGACTATGTTCAATTTTTTCCTATGAAATACTTAGTAGGCAAACAACAAAAAGTTAATAATCAGTTTATTTGTTTCTCTTTACTTGATTTTGATTTGTTTTTATTTTTGTGACTTCGCAATAAATTATATATGTAGTACTTGTAACACTAAGGGAAAAGTTAATCATTCGTTTCTATTGACGCAAATAACTTTAAATAACCCTTGAGAGTTATTCTACATCCAAAAACAAGTAGGTATATTCGGTTGGTATTGGTACTTATATGATAGGGAAAAGAGTACATATTTAATCTACCGTATATCACTCACTACTCAATATTCATTGTGCGACATAGAGACCAGATTGATCATTATGTATTTTTATTCTAGTAAAAATATCTTATGCCAGTAACGACAACAAAGGCCACTGCTAACGTCAGACAAGGGCAAGTCCTTGCCTTATAGTTAGTTTTAGTTAGGTATTCGTAATGGCTAATGATCTAAGTAACTGTGATTTCATTAAATGTAGACCAAAAAATCACTATAGTAACTATAGTAATTGTGTCAAAGTCAATACTTTTTTCAAATTGTAAGCATAATCTTTTGCATCGAATACACCACAGATATGAAATAAAATGAAATGATAATATATTTTATTCAAATTGACTAATTTAAGCTTTTGAATCGTCCAATATTTTTTTCCTACCACAGGCCAGGATATGATATGCCAGAGCTAATGCCTTGAAAATTTAGAAGAGTATTATTTTCGGAACAGGATGAAAACCCATACCATTAAGGAAGATAACACATTAAAAAACATAGAAAAACTACTTTTAAATCGAAAATGGAACTAAAACGTAAAATAGTTTTTTATGGTACAGGTTCGAAAAAGAGGTAGGGTTTTATTTTAATTTTGAACTGATCTGCAAATAGAAAGCTGTTTACAAATGAACACAATGCTGCGGGGCGCGAGGGCATGGCGCAAGGCTTAAAAAATAAAAAAAATGATTTTGCCACTATGCAGAAAAGAATCACTTCCCGAGCAAGTGCATTAATAAAGAACACTTTCCGAGCAAATGCATTGAAAACTAGATATTAGTTCATGATTTGGAAGTCGGGAAGATTGAAAGATGTATTATTAACGATCAGGGGGCCTATTTCGCTAACTGCTTTTGACAGATGGAAGTGATAATCACCGAGCTATTTAGTGATCCACTACTGCTTTATTATAACGCTACTTGGATACTTGTTCTGAAAATCATTGATGGATATGCAATTTTCTCTTTAGCTTCACACTGTAAATGTCAAAAAAGTTAGCAAATAAGCCGGCTGAAATGAAAATCTATTCCACGTTTCAATCTTGGCCCCGCCCGACTTCCAAATCATGAACAAGATATTATTTTTCAACACGCGCTACATAAACTATAGTAATAGATAATGGGCCTGAATATGGCGTTATTCTGCAAACTTAAAACAAAATTTTACATCAGCCTCTTTTTTTCATTTCCTATAGGTATAGCATGATAAGAGTAGACTGCTGATGATATTCCAAGTATAGCTGTTTGAATAATAGCTCACCATTAAATTTCTTCTCCAATAGTGATAGGCCCGTCTCTAAAGGAATAGCGGCAAAACCACATGCTGGTACAACAACAACATTGGCCTCAACTGCCACTTTGTGGTGATTCCGATACAAGTGAATCATGTGCTGAAATCAAGACAAGGTAAAAAGTTAATAAAACAGACCTTCTTTCTTGAAGTCTGGAAAGAATGTTTGAAACGAAACCTGATGAATTAGGAATCAGAAGATTCGGATCTCGTGAGAGCCGATGCAACCGGGACTAATTGGACAACAATGCAGCCGGGACCAATTGGGCAACGTGCTTTCCGAAGCACAGTTAAGCAGGAGACAATAACATTTTTGATCGCCTACCGGTTATAGGGTAGGCCATACATTCGTCTGTTCAGAGGTTGGTGCAGACTACTACGGATTTTAACGCTAGCTGTGATTATATAGAAATATTTTGTGTTAAATTGAAATAATTTTATTACCATATTTTTATTTCTTTTAAGCATTTAACGATTTCAACGCGCTAAAAAATGCACCATCAGGCTCCTCGATTCAAGAACAACAGGTGATCCTACATTAAACTACATATAAAAATACCAGGGTAGGTACTCAGGAAGTTTTACGACTAACAGTGTTTTTCTACGAGACATTGGCTGGTTTTGATTTCAATTAAAACTATTACTATTTCTCACAGGAAACACAACATTTCAAATTCTTTTTAGTCCTTCTCTCCACGTTTTTTAAAAGCAAAGTTTAAATATTCTGTCTCACTGAAAAATGGTTTTATTTCCCTAGGACAAGGCGCAGCGCCGCCCGGCTTACTCAAAGATCAAAACAAGGGACTTTCTATATAGCACACCGGCCAAACTTATATGTCATCCTCCTGATCCTCCTGCTTACAAACTTGATTTGGCTGCTTGCGACTTTCTTTTGCTCCCCTAAAAAAATCAAATCAAGGGAAAACAGTTTTCATCACCGGAAGATTCTCTGGCTGTAAAGGTGTTGAATGGTGTCTGATGCAGATTAAAAAATGTGTTATGAAAATTAATTTAGACGTATGAAACTGTCGAGACGTCAATGGAGTATCGCAAAACTTTCTGAGTGCCCCACGTATGAACGACAAGTTTAATAAGCTGATAATTATGTTGTAAAGTACATTATTGCAGCGGCCAGCAAAAGAGACATTGATGGACGAACGTGTAAACGTGTGGCGCACATACGTAAGTACATCAATGATGTCGATTCTGGCATGATTCTCTAAAGCTAAACTTAAATTTGACAACAGTGCATCCATGTCATTGTCTATACAGAATGAAAAGGAGAGACTGATGTTAAATTTAGTTTTAAATTTGGAGAATCACGCTAGAATCGACACCAATGCCTAGTTGTGGCCAAGGCTTGTATAGTACTTTTCTCAAATAATGCACGGAAATAAAAACTAAGTTATATCTAGGCAGAAATTTCTAAGTTTTGGAAATTAAATGACGCACAACAATATTTTTTACCGTGTTTAAGGATTCATTTGTTTTTTTTTACATAAACAGCTTCCTATTTAGAAAACCTAGTTCGAAATTGAAATAAAACCTTTGATAAGTTACCTCCTCTTCTTCTTCTTCTTCTTTTTTATGGCATGCACGGTTTGTGTGTTTAGCCAATGTCAAGTTAAAAAGTTATCTCCTCGTTTGCCATGTTTCGGAGTAAAAAACAGTTCGTTACATTTTTAAATTACACGACAGATACCTATGAGTTTACTATGTAATGTATTTGGCCGCTAAATACGACAAATATGGATTTTCATACAACTTTTGCCGGTCTGTGTTTGCAAATATTTGGCCAGTACAGCAATTTCGATTTATTTATTTAATTAATTGCACATGTACAGTATATATGGGATCTTAAAATTATTTTAGCATGGAACATGACCCTGTCAGGGTGTTGCAAGTACAATAACTATATCAACACAACTACTAAACAGTTTCAGTTTCAAACAAGTTATTGAGCTTTCCGTTGCAGTTTCACTTATCATTCATAAATTCATTTACCGAATACTATGCTTTCTTGATAAGATGTTGTTTGAGTTTCATTTTAAATGTATTTATGTTGCTTCCTCTTTTAATTCTAATCTCGAAGAAGGTTGTCAAAATAATGCTCACATTTCCAAGCATGTTTGAGAAAAGTTAGTTGTATCTACCTATCCTATGCATGGCTTGTTTACAATCTAGCGTGAGTTGACCGTTATTATATCATAATGACTTAGGTAGCTGGAGTCCGTCCATGACTTCATCTGCTAAAAATATTATACTGGTTCTCCATACAAATATTCGTCCCCTACTTCACCCTCTTCAATGTAAGTACCTAATTGCGTCCTTCTTCAATGTCCGGTCAATGACCAACCAAAATTCATTAAAATTATACACACCTACAACACAAGTCAAGAAACCCAAATCTTCGAAATTATTACAACAGATTTAATGCTCGATTTACGATTAAGGGCCCGTGGTCCTACCGCAATTATATGGTATCGATAAATATCTGAATTATGTAAATTATTTTACATTAGTTGTTAAATAATTAAACTCAGACGACCTCCGTGGCCGAGTGGTTTGTACGCCGGGTTTCATGGTGTCGCCGACTCGAGAGGTCCCGGGTTCGAATCCCGGTGGGGGCAGATGTTTGTGTGATGAATACGAGCATTTGTACTCCAGTCATGGATGTTTAATATGTATTTTCTATATAAATAAACTTATATATGTACAGTACTTATATGTATTCTATTCTTTATCCTAGTATCCCATAACACAAGCCTTATAGTGCTTACTTTGGGGCTAGGCTAATTGGTGTGAAATAAAAAAAAAAAACCTACCAGTATGACAAACCGGCGGGACCACGGGCCCTTTTGTGATAGGGACCTACTTGATATGTTGCTCATTGTACCGAAAACAGTTACTTTCACATATGATATCGGAGTCTATACTTTGTCAACTTCATATAGATTTTAGAATTTAAGACTGAGTAATGACACCAAAATTTAAGATTTTTTCCCGTGGACCAATAACGCCCTATAAGTTTAGCATTTTAGCAACCCAAGCCCCACTGTCATCAGATCCTATCAATTTTCTGAGATAAAGAATATCAATCCGGTTAATAAGTCATCCGAGTATCAAATTTCATTGAAATCTAAAAATACGAGTCTGGACCGTCCACCCCAGTCGTCCCGCGCTCCCATCAACCGTCCGGTAGCCTGACCGCTCGGCCTCCGCTTCTGTGTGTTTCGGCCTTTAACGGGTAAACCTTAATCTTAATCACTTGGTCCAGGAGGCCTATTCACTAACAGTTTTTGACAGGTGGAAGTGATAATCACCGAGTTATTTACTGTTCCACTACTGCATTATTATTACATCACTATGTTTCTTGCCTTGTTATGCAATTTCCACCTTAGATACACACTAAAAAAATTAAAAAAGTTAGCTAATAAGCTTGAATGTCTTGCTGGATTCGAACTAACGCCTATCGCTATCCGACGGGTAGATGATATTTACATTGATGCACTAATCTAAAGTTCTAGACAGAACCTGCCCGGAATCTTCATATTATTAATTTAAATTATAATTCGATTTATAAATCCTACTGTATACAGAACTACTGAATGAGAGCGAAATAATTATGATCAGGTTGTCCTTAACAGTACACACGTTTTCTGACCAAGGTCTCCGTCCACTACTCGACGCAGCATTTCAAGATCTCTAGTTACATAATAGCCTTTCTTAAGTATGTCCTGCTTACGACAACTTTTTCACTACTTAGATTGTGTTCTGCTTTATTTCAAAATCGTCCAAAAGAAAGACGTCGTACAATCATGTCATTTACATTCTGCATCCATTGCATGCATCTTTTTTACGCAACAACCAGTTTTATTTAAGAAGGCCACTTTTAACTAAATATTAATAAGCTGTTGTGTCACTAGACAATGGTCTAAAAATAATTTCCCACTTATTGTTTTGTTTAAATATTCTGTTCTTGTGATGGCTCTTGTTTGCACGAGTGCTTTTTGACTTAAAACTTACACACTTTAAAAATGTACTGAAAATGAGAAATCCAAGTCGTACAACTTTTGATTATATTTCAACACTTTATTAACGCGCGTTGAGGACTATGATCATAGTTTAGATCCGCAAACACAATTTATCTACCGTTAAATATCATATTGGCTATCCACGTCACCAATTGACTCCTCTTTCTTCTCCTGCCCCGTGAAGCTTGAGTAAATAGAAGTTACAGAAAACTCAGGTTATTTGGCTGCAACGTTGGACGTACCAATATTATAAACCGTGAATACTATAAATGGAGTACTAAAATATATAAAATATTTTGTGATTTGATTTTGATTTACAATCCTTTATCGATAATAGGTATAATTGGTGCTGTGAAAACCATCAAAATATGCCTATTTTGATAGTCACACCGGCCAAACCGGTTCAATCATGTGCATGGACTTATATTCTTACTTATATACGGCTGGCTGCAAAACCTTATGATATTATTACTTACATAAAGTTCAGCGGATATATCCACATAGTGAGTTTTAGTCTCCAAGCAAGCCTTGACGATGGGATCACTCAGTATTGTGTTGGGACCCGTACAGTTGATCAGGACTTTAGCTCTTCTGGTGACATCGCGGAGATCGTCTTTTTCAACGTCACATTTTATAACAATGACGTTTGCTTTTGTTTCACCTAAAAATATTTTAGTTAGTACTCCCATACATCTATCATATTAAAAAACAAAGAAGAAAAATACTTATTTGGAACATATTGCGAAAACGAACCTCGTCCACATTTTGAAGCAATAAAGGGAGGCATATGGATCTGTCGAGAAAATGACTACGGTGGAAATTTAAACAACGCCACAATAGACGTAAACATAAAAATCTTCTTGTACGATTTTGAGATCGAATTCAACTATTCGAATTCGATATTGGTTCGTGCTAAGGATAATACAATAAATAGGTAGGCAAAGCTATAAACAGTCCTTTATTGACAATTTATTAAAAACAGTGGACTTGGCAGGTTTCCAACCCTACTATATAATATAGCATCCTACTATATTAGGGGATCAAATACTATATTTCAGAAAAAAAAGACATAATGGGCGAAACTATTATATTTACTTAAGCAGACATTTGCCAGTAAAGGCTTTTTTAAAAATAAAATTTTAATTATTAAGGCCAATTATAGAGCAGCAAAAATATATATATTCGAAAAATAATGTAAAAACGTTAACCACATACTTATACATATATATATTTTTTCAAACTTTTTGCCATCACCTATATATTTTTAGATGTAACATCTGCGAAAATACTTTATTTGATAGAAAAAAAAAGTTGGTAACCCTATTGGCAATGGGAGCAGGCAATTATAAATAAATAATGAAAAAAACTTGTCATTTCATACATTTTCTTTCCTGTACAGTACAAAAAAGCTTCCGAATTTAATAATTTTAAAGTTTGTTACTTATTTCTGAACTTTATTTAAGTTAATTCACTTTCGATAATACTAAAGTTAGCCACCTTTGTCAAAGCATTAACCCACATTTTAAGATTGTTTCGTTGGTCTTTATTTTATAACTAGCGGCCCGCCCTCGCTTCGCTTCGCTGTAGAGCTGAAGTGTAGACTACAGTTTTTGTTCTCAGACTTGGATTATACACAAAGACATTCATCTATGATTGTTCTTATACCTGCATGCGAAGTCTCAGCCCGATCGGTTTAAAATTGACAGTTTCATACAAACTTTCATACCCTATTTTATCCCCTTGAGGGTAGAATTGATCAAAATCCTTTCTTAGCGGATGCCTACGTCATAACATCTACCTGCATGCCAAATTTCAGCACGATCCGTCCAGTGGTTATCAGCTTAATCTTAATGGATTTCGGGTTGTTATCCGTGACCCCTGTCTTTTCTCTTATCAAAGACTTTACATGCTGAGTAAAAAAACTTAACCGAATACCTTAACATACATATTCCTTCCTATAAATATTGTAGTCAATGTCTTTGACGATAAAGAAAATAAAATTTCACCTAAAAATAACATTTTATGTTAAAAACTGCCTGATGGTAAGGGAAGCGGCCACCATAGCGTATGGGGGGTCTATACCCCCCTTTGTGTTCTTACGATACCAAAAATATCACGTGACATCACCTTTACCGTTTCCTCACCCTGACGCCCGTGGAACCTGGACCTCACCGTCAGAAGCACAACACCACTAAAATATGCAATAATAATTACACAATAACAAACTACCAACCAATATCCTCTAATTCCAAAAGAAGGTTCTCTAATTTTTCCTTTGATCGTCCCGCTATAGCCCAGGATATGTGAGACAAGTCCGAAGAGTTCTTTATGATTTTTACTAGATTTTTCACTGCATGTTTCCCCGTAAAACCGGTTGCACCAACAATAATCACGTCAAGTCTGTCCATCGCAAAACGAATAATAATGTTGTTTTGTTGAATATAAACTAATTTCGTAGCGCGAACACGCACATACGACGCGTCCGCGCCTGTAAGTATTACGCTAAGAATGATACAGAATGTTTACATTGAAATAAACCTTTTAAAAGCAGTAAGTTTGTATTGAATAGTTTTTATGAGGTTGCTTTTTATATGGTCTATAACATTTCGAAACTAATGTGGTAATTTAACTAATATCTAACTATACTATATATACCTACTTACTATGAAAGTCTGTGCCGAAAGATACGCGTAATAATAGTAAACATAGGCCCCACCTACTTCAAAAGCGTACCTAATTAAGTAATATCGTCATCATCATCAGCCTATTAATGGCCCCACTGCAGAGTCACAGGCCTTCCGTAAGGATGGAATAGGGAGATTGGGTCATGACCCACCACGCGAGCCCAGTGCGGAGTGGTGGGTGCTAACGACTGCAGATGCAGCCAGGACCAACCGGCATAACGTGCGCGCCGAAGCACGGAGGAGCTCGAGATAGTTAATTTTTGGTCACCCATCCAATGACCGACCACTGCGAAAGTTGCTCAACTTCAACGATCGCAGCCGAACACGCTAACCATTTGCGCCATCGAGCTCCTCAATTAATTAATATGTCAGCAAATAATCGTAATTCTATATTCAGTAATAATATTAATATGAGATGGTTTGTATGTTTGTTACTCTTACACGCAAAAACGGCGAATTAGGGATATGAAACTAGCGTTTTTCCGGCTCAAAAGATATTTCTAATATAAAAAAAAACATTTGTAACGTAGACGAACTCGGGAGCGGAAGCCAGTACCTACTAAAAATTAAAAAGCGGAAGTTTGTTTTTGAAGTTATACTTCTTTAGGCGCGTTATGAAAAAATGATGAGAGTGAAATTTTTAAACGCGCGCGCATCACTGTAACCCAAAAGTAACAGCATGAAGTCGGCCGCGGGCGCGTTATGAAAAAATCATGTGAGTGAAATTTCGAGATGCGCGCGCATCACTGTAACACAATAGTAACACCATGAAGTTGGCCGCGGGCGCGTTATGAATGTTAGTGTCTAATAATGGTGGATTATTAACCACTTAGTGGTTAATAATCCACCATTATTAGACATCTGTTCGAAAGGTACTTTGAACGATCCACGGAGCTCCATAAGATGATCGCGTTGTCAAAAACAATGTTGGCACGCTCGTCGCCTCTGATCACTGTTTTCATATTTATAATATTTATCCACATGTTTCTAGTTTCTATATAGACACAACGTGTTTTAGTTACTTACAAGTGCTAATTACATATGGACTAATAACTTAAATTCAGTAGTGATTTTAATTGAATATTTTGAATATTTATTTAATTTTTCTAATTAAAACTGAACTTAATTGACTGTGTTAACTATCCTTTTCCAGTCCTTTTATTATTTTATTGTAATTATTAATTATTTGCATGCAATTAAAAATATTTTTAATGACGCTAAAGAAGTACTTATAAGTTCTCACGCGCGTATTACACGCATCCATTTTTTTTGTTATGATTTCAAACCTAAACTAGTAACAAGGTATTAAAGTACCTAATCTGTGCTTAAGCCACTCAATCGATTATGCGTGAATTTCGGTATTGAGAGAGACGACAGACTGTGTCCTGTCCTGTGAGATAAATGGGACCCTGGAGACAGATTTAACTTTTAAATAAATAAAAAAATAAGGTTGTAAAAAAAATAACATTTGTATAATACTAGCGGCCCGCCCTCGCTTCGCTTCGGTGTAGAGCTGAAGTGTATACTACAGTTTTTGTTTTCAGGCTTGTATAATACACAATGACATTCATCTATGATTCTTCTTATACCTGCCTGCAAAGTCTCAGCCCGATCGGTTTAAAATTGACAAAGTTTCATACAAACTTTCATTCCCTATTTTATCCCCTTGGGGGTAGAATTGATCAAAATCATTTCTTAGCGGATGCCTACGTCATAACATCTACCTGCATTCCAAATTTCAGCCCGATCCGTCCAGTGGTTTGGGCTGTGCGTTGATAGATCACTATGTCAGTCAGTAACCTTTGAGTTTTATATATATATATATACTAGCGGCCCGCCCTCGCTTCACTTCGGTGTAGAGCTGAAGTGTAAACTACAGTTTCTGTTCTCAGGCTTGTATTTTACACAATGACATTCATCTATGATTCTTCTTATACCTGCATGCAAAGTCTCAGCCCGATCCGTCCAGTGGTTTGGGCTGTGCGTTGATAGATCACTATGTCAGTCAGTCACCTTTGAGTTTTATATATATAGATAGATATAGATGTACTAACACAATAAACATTTTGTATGAAAAATCAATTACAGCATGCAGACGAAGTCGAATACACCGACTAGTAATAGCAATTAAATAAATTCTTGTGATTTTGTTACGAAGCAGTTAGCATAACAAATTGATTTCTAAATGCGACCTCTATCAAATGTTGTTAGGTACAATTTAAGAGTCAAAGCTGTGGTCTTAGTTTTCTAACATTTTATTGGTATACCTATTTCTTAATAATGATGATATTATAAACAAATATCTAAATCGCATGGGTGGAGTATACTAATGATAAATTGAGAAGTCTTGTTGAATTGAGATATCAATACAAAAACATCATTTCGATTTCGAAACTTTCTGATGGTTTTGTAATGGATTGTCAAGAAATTTAAAAAAAAACTCGTGCAAACTTTGTCCTAACAAACAACAAACACAAAAAAAATGTTAATATGGTAGTCTTTCGGATGGTATGCTAGGAGATGCTCGACGCGCGTACGTGCATTTCGGTCACACTTCAGTGGTTATTACGCACACTAATTATTTAGTAAAACAGTTTTTGAACGGGTATAAGTGCGTTTTTCAATGTTTTTGTTACCATTGCAGCCAAACCCGATTTTAGGACACACTTGTTTTTCGTAGGTTTTTTAACTTTTTTTTCCTATTCATCCTTTGGGCGAAATAATAAACCGATACCTACCAGGCTACACTGGTATGGAATATGACCGATAGGAGAAAATAGGTTAACCTAGGCTAAACCTATTTAGCCTAATATGAATATAAAACACTTCAGGCTAATCTGGATTGACCATTTCTATAAATAGGTAATAATACAACAACTGAACTATTATAAACATGATGCATTTATTAATTTAATCAAAATAAAATCTTCTTATATGGTGTACTCTGCTGGTGGCATTTGCCTTCTGGCCATTATCTTTTCTTTAAGTTGTATCTGCTTGTCATCAAGTTCTTTACGTAGCTGCACCTAACAAAACCTAGCCCTGATCCAACTGAACCTGTTTTGTTATTGCAGTTCTCATCGCCCACATAAAAAAAAATCTCGCTAAGACTTTCTGATTCTCGCTTAAACGTTTTTGACTAGATAGAATTAGTACAGAATAGGCCAAATCAATTTATCCTGAAGTTTACTTATTCATATTATTAGGCTTAGCTAGTTAAGCCTAGGTTTAACTAGTTTCTCCTATCGGTCATAAGACGAACCAGTTTAGCCAAATCTAGGGTGGTTTTAAATCGACTTTGGCCGGTAACATTTTTATTAGCTATACTTTGGGTTATAACCATTTGTTCTACTGTTTTTTCTACCAATAGATAAAACAAATATGAAAAAATATCATTAATAAAATTCACCTTGTTAAACAACGTTTGATAGTAGAACAAATAGGAAATGATTATTGAACAACAGATGTGGGTTTCTGGACTTACTGAAATATGGAAAAAATGACTACGATTTATTAAATCTGATGTACGTACCAGGGCAACATAACCACAAAGAAGGTAGGTTAGGTACTGCTTTCCAGTTATACCTTGTCATAATTGAGAACTCCAGAAAATATTTAATTCTTATTAATAAAATAATGATTAGTAAAGAAAGAGTACCTCTTAGGTAGCCCCATCTACAGGTCAAGATCTGATAATGGGACCGTAGTAAAATCGAGGTAGCTTTTTAAATAAAGCAATATTTAATTTAAGGCCAATTTATAGTAATTTAGATAATTTTTATAGAAACTGGCATATTTACTCTCTGAAAGCATCATCTGGTGAAGTGGAACTGATGATGAAGATCAAAGATGGCCACCGGAAGTAATCTTTTACTCATAGCACGTCACGGAATTCCAGTTGTGAGGAACTCTCTTAAGTTATTTAGTCAATAAAGGTTCCCTTACTTTTGATACTTAGTTCCTTTTGAATTATTTATTAGTATGTCTGGGGACACTGTAGTGCAAGTATACCCGCCAAGACGAACCCAGCGAAGTACGAGATGGGCACTACCTATTCGGACACTGTGTCCGAATATAAGCTCAAACTACACAAACTCCATACTTTAGTCAAAATATAGAAGCACGGCGGTTTCGCTACTACAAGATCTATTTAATAACAAAAGTAGACATGCGCAAAACAGTGCTCTATGGCGTGATGTAATATTACATCACATTACTCGCTGAGTAATATCACTCTGTAATATCACTATCACTCGAAACATTACCCGTGATTTTTATTAATATGTGACTTAGTAATAAAAATCACGGGTAATGTTTTGAGTGATGGTTAATCAAATACTGTATTCAACATAGATTTATTTCGTTAGTAGGTATTTAATGCGTCAATATTAACAAAAAAAATACTTGAAATAATAGTTTTGTAATATACAGGCGAATAATTTGAGGAGTGTTTCTTAAAAAAGTAATTTATATTATTCGAACATATTGAAAGTTACCCGGCTAGGCCGCTGTGCGTCGCTAGCGCTGCGTAATGTTTACATTACACACTACGATAGAACAAACTAAAAAAAACCTTTAGTTGTAAGAACATAAAGTCGTAATTTGTTTTATTCAGTGTACTGCGTGATGTTTTAAAGTGATGGTGTAATGTTTCATTCTGTCGGGTGATATGTGATATGACATTACAACTTCGCGTAATATCATAAATGTAATATCTCGCGCATTACTTACACATGTCTAAACAAAAGTTATTTACAGTGAATGAATTTGTCAGCCGTATATAACCGTAGCGAAAGGGCCTAAACACATATATCGACTAAAGTGTAGAGTTTGAGAAGTTAGGACGTGGAGAATCAGAAGCTTGGCTCCATTCTTTTGTTAGTGCAAGCCATGAGGTCTCGTCTTGGCAAGATTTTACATGTTTTTTTTGGTGGGATTTGTTTGTATGTATTCATAAAAATATGCATATAAAAATAAAAATTAATTTTAAAAATTAATAGTTTTACTAACTCAAAGTAGCTTTGTACAATTTAAATTTTCCTACAAATTTTTTCACATCTTCTTTGGGATAAGGCTTGAGAGCCAAACAAGTTGGAATATTCTCTGGCTGTTCAATCCAAAGCTTGTATGCTATAGAATTCTCACTCAGCTTTGTTTCAATTTTTCTCAGTGCCTCTTCGTTTGGTACCTTAAAATATATAAACTCTCAGTTATGTTTTCTTTTGTGAAAACAAATATGAAAGAACAGGGATGACTTTTTTTTCTTCATCTATCATGTAGAATATTAAAAAGTATTGGACACGTATTTTTCTTTATTCACATAATCAAATCATTACAGAGATATGTTGTTTTAAAATGTCGCATGACGTCGTGTCTTATTAAAATTTCTACATAGAAGTGACGTCACAAGCTCTCAATCTTTGACGCGCTTTATCTTCTTAATTTTTTGGTAGAGTGACAAAAGAAAAAATGCGTGTCCATTATTTTTTGATAATCTATCTGACGGACTAAATAGAATATTGTTTACTTAGCCCCGTCATTATGATTATACTACAATCAAAGTATGATTCGTTTGAAATTTTTATTTTTGGTGGTGTTGTCATAATGAAGTTATGTTATTTTTAAATATTAACTTGACTAAAACAACACCACCAAAAATAAAGAAATAATCGGCAATATTAAACTGCAACATATATGTAAGGTCACCCGGGGCTATTGTAGCCAGGGGAAAAATGTAGCTGTTTCAAAGAACTCGTTACTGTTTAGTTTTTAAAATACGATGGTACGAGAATTAACCTACGATACAAGCAGGTTTCGGAAATTTCACTTATTCATAATCAAACAAGTAATGGAGAAATATTACGAAAAAAGGAACTCGTTTTCGTGGACTACAATAAGGCTTTTGATTTACTTAAACATATATACATATGGATATATACACAAAGTCAAGGGATACCCAGTTAATATTTTTGAATAATGAGCAAAATATATGAAATCACCACAGCTAGAATAAAATAGAATCCAAAGGAAGAAGATTTCTAAATTCAAAAAGATGTGCGCTAGGGAGATACTCTATCACCTAAACTCTTTTCATCAACTCTAGAATAGGTATATAATTAGATTTATAACGATAACTGGGATAAACAGGAAATAAAAATAAATGTGATGTTAAATTATTTAAGATTTGCAGATTATCTAATAAAAATTATTGACAAATCACAAATTTACAAGAGATAGGTACTTCTACAACTTACTAAAGCGAAGCTTTTTCCTCAAAATACTCCATCCATATATTGGCAACTACTGGAGCTACCGGACTGCCCATTGCCACCCCATCTATTTAGAGGTAGTACTGACCCTGGTATATTAAGAAGTTCGTCGACAAACAATGATATAACAACTTGGCATATTCTGTCGGGATGCTATTGTCCTGCAACTTCACATTTACTACTTCCAGTCCAACACAGGTACATTTGTGAAAAGTGATTCCACTTTGATTCATTTGGATGGAGTATTTTGAGGAAAAAGCTTTCGCCACAGCCCCCACAAAAATTGTACTGTGGAAGAGGTATGTCGATGACGTATTATGTATTTTGAGAGGAAACAAAGATGTCGAGTCTCATTTGGCAAATTTAAATGGATCCATACCAAAATGCAGTTCACATATGAGATGGAAGAAAACCGAAGTCTGGCCTTTCTTGATGTAAAGATTCGGGTGTGGATGTGTGACGGTTCGCTGAGTCATTCCATTCACCGCAAACCTACTCACACAGAACGTTATATCAACGCCTCCTTGCATCACCACCCTTAACATCGAAATTCTGTATTCACTTCACTAACGAACCGTGCATATGACTTGTGTGACAAGGAACACCTGCACGAAGACTTGGAGCATGTACGGCAGGTCTTACAGAATAAAGGATACAAGAGAAAGTTTCCACCCAAAAACAAATTAAGACCAGACACACAAAGTAGACAGGCAACCACTATTTTTGCCGTATATCAAAGGAGTGACAGACAAGATCTCGAACATACTTAATAAGTACTCACTGAATACTGTCTTCACTCCTTTACAAAAAGTGTCAGATTCTACGGTCTCCCAAAGACAACTTCCCCTTGGAGAAACCTGTTGTATACAAGATCAACTGCAGCTGTGGTAGCTCTTATATTGGTCAAACGAAGCATACAATAGCCGCCGAATGAAAGAACACATAAAAGCAGTCAGAAATATTGATACGCAAATCACCCATCGCGAAACAATTAATTGATTCGGGTCCTAATCACTGGATTGAGCTCCATAAACCACAAATTATCACGACAGAACGCAAATCGGGAACAATTGCGAGTAAATAGTCAGAATGTGACTAGTGGTAGGGGGGTATCGAACGCAATAAAAGATGACGTCAGAAGGTAGACCGATATGTCTGCCAATAACATCTACCCGCAATTACTTCAGTTACTCCGTGATCATGGCGCTTGCAACAGTACCGAAATATTGGAGACTCTTAAAAATCAAGGTACATGGTAACAATCCCGTTAATAGCTATAATGTTAGTGACCATAAAAGTTTAAAACAATATAGACAGTCAGGTCATAAGTATTGTCACACAGTAAAAACTTTTCTTTTAGAATGCTGGCCACAAAAAAGTTTATTGAATTCGAATTATTATTAGAATGCTCGTCTAATGGACCTGAGACTGAAGAGATGCCGCGCTTTGCTAAAGCGGTAAGCGGGAAAAAAATATCGGGAAATCCTTTTTTCGGATGAAAAAAATTTTTGGTCATTTTCCATCCTCGCTCATAGTATGGTTGGGAGTTTCTTATTGGGGCTTAACAGAGGTACATTTTTGTGAGAAAGGTGTAGAAACGAATGCAGATGTGTATCAAAACACAGTCCTGACGAACCTTTGTGGAACCTGTTTCTCATACCATGTTCAATAACAGACACTGGGTATTCCAACAAGATTCGGCGCCAGCTCATAGAGCGAAGAGCACAAAAAACTGGCTGGCGGCGCGTGAAATCGACTTCATCCGGCACGAAGACTAGCCCTCCTCCAGTCCAGATTTGAGTCCATTAGATTACAAGATATAGCAACACTTGGAGGAAAAGGCGTGCTCAAAGCCTCATCCCAATTTGGAGTCACTCCAGACATCTTTGATTAAGGCAGCCGCCGATATTGACATGGACCTCATTCGTGCTGATTGAAGGCCTGTTTTCAAAATCACCGAGGTCATTTTGAATAAACTTTATTGTCATAACATAGATTCTGTTTTGTTAAGTTCATTTTGGTATATAAATGGTTACATAATGAATAAACTTGTTTCAATTATTTTATATTAAACATGCAAGACATTGACAAAATTTATGACCTGACTAGGTATACATACCTTGCCTTACATATGGTTGCCAAACCTGGGCCTTAACACAAAGAGACTTAAATCAAATGGAAACTTGTCAGTATAACATGGAAAGAAGTATTTTTAACATCAACAGAAACGATACAAAAAGTCTAGGGCATATAAGAAAAAATACAAAATTAAAAGATATAATAAAAAGATTAAAATGGAAATGGACAGGACATTTAGTGAGAAACAAAATTAAACATGGGCAAAAATCATTATAGAATGTTATCCGAGAGATGCAAGAGCAGCAGAGGAAGACCAATTAGAAGATGGTAAGATGACATAAAATAGTAGAAGGGAGCATTTGGACAAAAAAAAAGTATAACAATTTGGAAGGCATTAGAGGAGGAGTAGAGCAAGACGATCATCAACAAAGTAGGAAAAAAAATGTATATGAAAAAAAAGGTAATTAAAAGTCAATAAAGTTTTTTATTGTTATATCTAATAAATATGTATATGTAAACAAATATACTGAAAAAGTAACTATAGCAACTTCATAAGTTTTTAAGAAATGAGACACACAAAAGCTGTTTGAGATAATGTATTTTTGAAATTATATTCAAAATAGGCACTCTGTTTAAGGCTCACATTGGAATTCATGTATTCCTGCAATGACCAAGATTCTGCCAGCAGAATGCCAAGGTTCTTAAGTGGCCAGTCTTAACCAGATGCAACTATATAGCTACCCTCCTGAAACTCATATAGGAACCTCAGTATGTGAAATGTGCAGGAGTATTGTCTATGGTTTTACTGAATAGGGTGTTACTCCTTTCAGGAAGCTTATGATATGAGCAGGGAGGAGTCCTCATAACCTAGTTGCTGCAACTCGCGGTGAAGAGAAAGGTATCACGCCTTTGCCAGACATTAAAAATAACATTGACAGTGCTCTATGACTGATGTCTGCTAGAGATAGAGGGTGGCCGAATGTTCAGCCATCTTAGCTAAAATGGTTTATATTGGACTCCCCTCATACTTAACATCAGATGGTGTGTATTAGTTGACTAGGCATTGTACAAAACTATGCAATGGATAGGAAATCAACCCTGTACTTACTTCCAATACTACTTTATGCATGTTGTCCAGGTCATTCATATACTGCAGAGTATGTTCGTCATCTTTGTACAAATGAAGAACTGCTGTTGACGCATGACATGCTTGGGCAACTAAAGCTCCTATGGACCATCCAAGTTCTTTTAATAGATCGCTCCGAAGCAAAACATATTGAACGATGTTTGACATTATAACTTTAAGTTTACTTTCCTAATTATATATCATTTACTGTATCAACAACCTTGAAAATGTGTGCAAGTAACTTAGCGAATATCTAGGGCCCTAGTCCCTATCCTTTTATTTACAGCTTTTATGATTCGATTAGACAATTTTAGGTTATGTTATGACATTCCATTTTTTCTGGTAATATTTTTCCTTTATGGGAAGGCAAAGGATACAAAATCCATATAAACTTGACTTAATTTTTTTTTCTATTTGAAAATTGGATTATGGATGAAACGCATTCTATATTGAATAATATAGTTGTTCTTTATTGCGTTCAAAAACTGATTTACCGCTACGTACAGTAAGTAAATAAGTTTAGCCATCGGTCAGCTAAGCAATGGTGTCGATTCTGGCATAATTCTCTAAACTTAAAACTAAAACCATCAGACTCTCCTTTTCATTCTGTATGGAGAAAAGTTAAGTTTTTGGCGTACTCAACTCCATTCATTTACTGTATCAATAACCTTAGTCGTTTACCCGAATCCCATTGGCAATCGTATTCGGGGTAACGACGAAGTGTTCAGATAAGAAACAGTCTTATACAAACAATTTTACAATATTTGTTTACAAATAGACCTAAAGCATCATTAATTAATTTAAATTTATTGTATTCAAGTGGCATAAAAGTGACGGATATGCGGTAAATAGATTTGATACATCGCCGCCGTACGACGAAAACCCAAAAAACCGAAACGCGTTCTGTTAATTTAAAGTATCAAGTCTATTTCGTCCGTAACAAATTTATGTTTACAGCTACAGAATTTTTAAATTTGCCACTCTTTTGGAGGGTCACGATTTATTAGACAGACTCTACGGACTCTACATGCTCTATGTCACTATAGCTATTTCTTATCTGTGCTTTTTATCGCATTTGTTTACCTCACTGTCAGTCATAGAAATTCTAACCAAATCTTGAAAATCGGTTAGATATTACCGTGAATTTATTTACAAAACAACTGTAATAGTAAAAATGGCTTCTGGTCTGGAAAACTATGTAAATCAGACAGTATCGGTTATAACTGCGGACGGGCGTAATTTCATTGGAACATTGAAGGGTTTTGATCAGACCATCAATATTATTTTAGATGAGTCTCATGAAAGAGTGTTTTCATCATCTACTGGCATAGCTCAAGTGGTCCTCGGTCTTCACATAATTCGCGGAGATAATATTGCTGTAGTTGGACAAATAGATGAATCTATTGACAGTAGACTCGACTTGGGCAATATAAAAGCGGAACCTTTAGGTCCCATTGTGCACTGATGTTACTTGTAAGCTATAGTATTAAAGTTAAGTTTTAAAAGTACTATTTCATTTTTATCCTCTCCCTTACAACTTTTATCATACTTCCTTTGTTTGCTAATTTTATTTACATTGCGTTGAATCAATTTGTCATTTACTTGATTTTAACAATGACACAAGGCTGACAGGTTCTCAATATCAACAGTCATATTACTTTAATCATTTAGATTAGCATGAATAGTTATTATCAAATCAAAAACATTCTATCTGTTTACAATCTATAGGTGTCCCATACTACAGTATAAAAAAGTTTTAGATAAATAATATAGGTATAAGAACACTACAGAATTTATATAAATCCATGATATTGAATTCAACTAAAAGACTTTTTAATTATTATTACATTTATTTACAAATGAGTACACAATAGTACATTATTTACAACAATAATTTGAATTACCTATACTAAATCTATTGGTTTCTTTATAAAATTATAACAGCCGTAAAATTGTCCATGTGAAATTTAAACTATTTACAAAAAGCCCAAAAGGATAAAATAGAACAAAATATATGTATATATCATAGGGCATATAAAATTATCAATTTCCATAAATGTCTATAAATGTGACATGTATTGAGGAAGAGTATAGGTAGCAGAAAACTTCTTGAGGATAACCACAGGCATATAAACTTGCACAGTAGATGAATTTGTATGAAAAATTGCTACTGTGCAGGCTTCCTTGTCAATGGTTGATGCTAAAGAAGTTTACTGTGGTCTTTAATTTAATTAACAATAACCAGGTACATAGTTGCTCTAACTTAGTTCATGGGCATAACAAAAATTATTTAGGCGTTTGGATCTGCATCCAGACATTTCTTTGGCAAAAACAACATACTTTTGTTAGTCCATCAATTGTGTTTAACTGTTCAGACATAAGATTTAAATTTTCACCACACAATTTAAATTTTACTATAATAACCTATCTATGTTAATTGCTTGGTATGATTATGAGCACAAAGTACACAAGTGAACTAATATTCTCTACTATAACTTGTTAGAGATAGAAAATTTATCGCCTTGGTAGGTTTACATGAATTCTGATTTATGGGTAATGTTTGATTTACCCAAGTTCCTAGGCTCTACCATATTAGGCAATTGGCTTTATGTAATCATTCTGAAGAGCATATCTTTTTAGGTATTTTTTTTTATTTACATGTCAGCATTCTACATTACTAGGGGGCCGTCCATTAATCACGTGATGTGTTTTTGGCATTTTTTAACCCCCCCTCCCCCTTGGTGATACATGGTGAGGTTAAAGTCTAGCCCGCCACCCCCCACCCCATATCACGTGTATTTTTAGTACCTACAAAGAATCTTATTTTTTTAAACTTTTAGAGGTAGACAGAAATGTTGTTTTTGACTGACATCAATATAAAGAAAGAAACTGAACAATTTATATATACAGTATCCTCGGACCACGTAAATACACGTGATATATTACTACACCCACCATCCCCCCTTGTGATATTTCGTGTTTTTTTACGGACCCCCCCCCCCCCCCCTTTCGAGCCTCACGTGATTAATGGACAACCCCTAGCTTGGATAATAATAAAAAAAATGCTGAGTTTGATTTCCTATCCAATTAGTACACCTGGCTGCTTCTTGTCTGTAGGTGTATTTAAAATGAATGATAGTTGCCACGCATTCCATGATGTGTCCAGAAATCTCGATTAGGAATAGCCATTACTATTTGATTTTCCTATTAAGACTAACTCCTGATGCCTGTAAAAAACAATTAATAATTAATCTGTATTTAATTTTTTAGCAATGCAAATTGTAAGTTAATATTAGAAGTTATTTAACTAAATATTTACAAAGAGTTACAGTAAAACCAGTAAATCATTATTAATGCATGACAACTACAAAATTATAACTGCTGAATATACCTTGACAGATGCATGCACATGCTACTGTTCACTTTTTATTATTTCTATTTCAATGCCTTGGCTGAAATAGAATAGTGATAAACAGCAAAAAATTAAAACTTGACTGAGGGGTGTAAAGAAAAAAAAATTGTAAATATGATGCATTATGTCACATAATAAAATTAGGTATGTATAGGTTTAAAATAAACATTTATTTTGCCCAAGAATTGAATTTTCTATTCTCAGGGAATTTTAAGTCAAAGGTTTCATCGTAATAGTACCTTACACAATTCATAATATATATATATATATAGAATAGAAAATTAGTCTTTAGGCATTATATAAAAAAACAACACAAAAACACTTGTTAATAAGCAAGCAAACAAAATAATTTAAGTATACCTTTGCATTTTCTCCTTATATTTTTGAGTATTGTATTTTTGGAAAAACTGTTTTCCATATTCAAATGTGGCAATCATTATAGCACAAGCAGGTGCTACTTTAAAAATTCGAGGCAATAGTCCAGTAAACAATCCTTTGAACCCATGATTTCTATAAATGTTCCTTGCAATATCCTGCATATTTGATGCTCTTTGTTGTGTTTTTCCATCTAAAGCATAATAAATTAATAAAACAACAAACCTACAAACTATCCTGTTTTAATCAAAAATGGCTTGATAATCAGTCATACAGTGCAACCTTAATATAACATACCTCAATATAATGACTTCCTTGATTTAACTATTTTTTTGTAATCCACTAGAATTTTCCATAAGAGTCAATGTAAAATATACCTTTACATTGCAAATATTTTTGGGAACAACTTCTTCCTAACAAATTTTCAACTATCAAAAAAAGTGTAAATACCTCTAAATAACGAATTTTGTCAACCAAAAACCTCTGTGTAACGTTTCCATCAATATATGGCATTTAATCCCTGAGTATGTGAATTATGTCATGACAGAAAACTATTTTTTTACCTCTTTATAACAAATTTTAGAACAAACGTAACCACAAAAGAACAAACCTCAGTTGAACGAATTACTTAATATAATGAATATTTACTTGTTCCATTCTGATTTGTTAGATCAAGGTTGCCCTGTAGTTATACTGAACTTTTATTTATAAAGTTTATTATTGATTACCTGTGTAAATTTCTTTTTCACCCAACTCAATTTGCTGGTGTGTTTTAATGACATCAAAAGGCAGTGTCACAAAAGCAGCAATCTGAAAATTTCATTAGTTACAAGCTATTAGTAACACTATACACTATAAAATGTTTCTAAACAATTATTCAGTTACTTACACTGCCAGCTACAGATCCACAAAAGAAGTTAAATAAAAATGTATTCTTTTCAGAGTCCGGCCGATTAAAAAATCTCTTTGTGGATTCAAATGTAGTCCAGTATAAACCTAGAAATAAATTATACCCATGTATTAAACTTTTATTATATAAATTTCATGCTTTTAATTTCTTACAAGAGTTATATAATAAATAATAGTAAGGTGAATATGAAATGATTACTTCGGGTAATATAAATTACCTGAGAAAGGTACATCTCTTAAAAGAGTTGAACCTAATCCACGGAACAGCCCTCTACATCCCTCATACCGTATCACTTGTTGTAATGCAGAAGAAATTTCTGAAAAATGCAATTGTCCAATCTTAATACACACAATGTTCTCACAACTTTTATTACAACAATTCATTTAAGTACTTCACAAAGAATTACCTCCATAAGTCAAGTTTTTCGACTGCATCTTAGTTCTTATGAGTTCTAATGGACTAACTACAGTTACAGCAGTCATTCTAGCAGTAGCTCCTGCTATTAACGGTATCCACATTGGCTGGGTCACTGAAATTTGTTTAACAGTTAAATATGCTTAGTATTCAATCATTTCAATTCCATAATTTTCATTTTTATCTATTACAGTCTTATACTTACTATTTCCTGATATTTGGTTATATAAAGTTTTCATTCTATATCGAAGTTGTTCATAAGACACAAAATAAATAACTGTACAGGGAAGAGCTAAAACTAACGTAGGGCTTAGCCCCGACCAAAGTGCTGGGACTCCTTCCAGCTTTGCTATTTTATAAAAGGCATCCTGGAAATTAAAAATAATAATAATCAATTTTAATTTTGAAAAATAACTCTCATATGCAATATAAAAATCCTATATTGGGAAATTTTATACACACCATAGTTCCATGAAAATGCACTCTTCGGGGAATCCATGCGGTCTCCCCACAGGGACAAAGATGTTCCATAAGTCCATTGCAATACAAATAGCATTTATTTGAAAGTAATGCTTTCTGTTGTGCTTGCAACCGAATTTTAACAACATCTAATGGTGTCACTGCGAATGATATTAAAAGAAATTGGTCAAGTAAAACTAAAAACATAAAACAAAGCAAACTTAGATATTAACTTACTAAATAATGAGGTTATTAGAGCACCGGAGCATGCCGATGCCATTTGTTGAAATGGCGTGATGCGAAACTGAGGATCATCTTCCCGGATCATTACCAAATTTTAATTTATTTTAAGGAAGATTCTCCTGTTTCTTTAGTGCAAATTTTGTGTAGAATTTTGGTGTCTGAATCTGTTTTATGGCTGTCAAACAAAACAAACTGTCAATGTCAGCAGCTTCACAATAGGGATGCACGATATTCATCGATGTTGTATAAACATCAATGTTTTACTGGAAAACATCGATTTTTTAACCTCGATGAGTTGACTTCGATATCATCGAAACATCGATGTTACTAGTAAGTATCGAAACGTCAATTATTCTTTGGGACGCCGTCTAGCGTGCATTAGGTGCACTAGCTTCAATTAAGTGGTCAGCTTCTGTACCAGAAACCACAGACATATAATACTATAGCAGACGGAACATAAAAAACATGATCTTTTATCCTTTTTACACTCAGCTACAACACTATAGTGGCATCTCATTCTTCCATCTATTGCAATAATGACTCACACATCAACAAATGCCAACGCGTGTCATTTTTATTCCTCGCCGCCATTTTATTCATGACTTCGGACATGCGACTTTTCGGTGTTTATTAAAAATATTGCTTTGATGAAACTATATTACAAAACGAGATTATTCAATTACTATGGTCAAGTACAGTGCGTATCGATGTGAAAGTGCTACCTACAATAGAACACCAGGAGTAAGGTTTCATCAGTAAGTTTTTATGTGTCTTTGTTGTGTACTGAAATGTCTTTGAGTCTTTTCGAAGGTTATTTAAATATTATCGTAACATGTAATATTTTTACGTAGGATTATTTATCTAAGATACTACCGGTGAAAACTAATATCCTAAAAGTAAAGAAATAGAAGTAATCAGGATAAATCATGATAGGAAATTCCAATTCTGACAACTGAAGTACTGTTGCCATAACAGAGGACGGACTCGGTATCAAAGACAAAAAGTTTCTCGGCATTAGTTTTGTTTGCATCACAGACATATAACTAGTAGTATAGTATTATATGTCTGTGGTTTGCATTGTATTTTGAATGTGAATGCAATCAAGAACGTAAATAGATCAAAGACTTTATATAATACCATATTATATAAAGTATTATATAAAGTCTTTGAAATAGATAGGTACCTATTACAGACTAGCTATTCATATTTCTTGGAACATTGGCATCGGTAGGTATATAACCCAAATAACCACATAAACAATTTTGTTCTAGGTTTCCAAAGGATAAAAGTACTCGGAATGCATGGTTAAAATATATGAAACGTCAGGATTGGCAACCAAATACTTATAGTGTTTTAAGTGTTTTTTGTTTTAAAATAAACAAAAGTAATGATTTTAATAGTTTGATTAAATGTGATTATGTCGATTATTCACTATTTGACTCGAACAATCCAGACCATGACATAAACCATGTCCACTTGCTTATTAAAGTTGTTGTCAAAATTTATTTTGATCTTAGATGTAAACATCAATGTAAAGAAACAATTGTATCTCAGAGAAATTTTCTAAAAAAACTTGTATTATTTCAAAATAAATAGATAAAAACTATGCCTTAAATTTTTATTTCAATTTTCCTAATTGTACCTATGTCCTTTCCCTGTGTTAATTTTATCTCCGTGCTCAATTTCATCATTATCGATTCAGCGGTTTCGCCTAGCTAAATTCGCCATTGAAGATATTAAACAGACAGCTTTTTACATTTATAATATTATTAGCATGGACATCACATTAGGACCTATTTATTCGAATAGGTATTTCATGAAACAATAATGAAATCCATTATTCTACTATACTTAATGCGGCCCATGCTTTGGTGAGTTTCAATGTGTGTGTATTTGCCACGCTGTTTAAAACTGAATATTCCGTCTGCTACTAGTTATATGTCTGTGAAAAAAAATACTTTTCGTGCTTTTGCATTAGCGAAATCTTTAACAATTTCACTGACTTCAATTTTGATTTCATGTTCAATACTTATTAACGACAAATTTGTCAATCTACTTTGCTGTTGATCTTAGATAGTTTTTAATTATTTTTGGTGTAGAAAATGACCTTTCGCTGTGTGCTACCGTGACTGGAAGTGTGGGGTAAATCCTCAGTGCTGTAGACATATTTGGGAATACTGAAATCAATTTATTCGTAAACAAGTAATTTAAAATATCAAACGGCGTAGTGGAATCATCAATAAACATCGGTAATAATTCGATTTCAATAAAGAGCACGAACTTTTCCACATCTGAAGAGCCAGCTTGGCAAAGTTTATTTTCTAAATTAGAACAATGTGCTTTTTTTGTATCCGAGTCCAAATCCTTACAGTGTGTCAATTTTTGAAGAAATGAAAAAACTAAATTTTTTTTTGATTGAGAAGTCCGAACCGTTTCGTCGAACTCGTGTCTAATAAATAGTAGTAAAAATTGACTTTAAAATGTGTTTTCGCGTCTGTGATCGGTTCATCCTCCGCCTCATAATTAAAAACCCTTTTACGAGTGCGAGGGCGTGCAGGTGTGGGAAATTCTGCTATTGCCTCGACTTCTTCCGCTACAGTTTTCGCGCTGTGAATGAGCTTTTCAAAACCGGAGTCCAGACAAACTTATTTTTGCATTATCAATCATTTTCACCGCTTCTGACAATACAACGTCTGACTTTTGAAGTGCCTTGCTAACTATATTTATCTTGCTTAAAATTTCAAACCAAATAGCAGACAGCAGATGAATTTAAGCGATTAAATATTTCCCAGTAATGAATTTGCCATATTTCTTGCCTCCGTATCATTTCTCCTATCGGAATATATATTCCGGTAAACAAAGCATCATACACTTTTCTCAGTTCAAAACGTAGAGCTTTTACTGCTTCAACCCTGCTCTTTCATCGAGTATTTATGAGTGGTTTTAAACTTAGAGTTGCCACTTCTATAGCAAGTATTTGCCACCGTGCTGTTGACGCAGAAAAAAAAACAAATTTCTTGCATAATTGAAAAGAAATTTACTATTTCTAATGAACTTTTAGCAGCGTCTTTCACTACCTTAGTCATAAAATGCGCGTGGGTATAAACCCTTCAGATATAAATCTAAAATTCGTTTTTGAAGACCAACATTTTTCCGTTTCATCTTTGCACCATTATCGTAACCTTGACCACGCATATCCTGTACATCAATTTCTCGTTTACTCAAAGATGATACCTAATTCATTGAATTAAGGCTTACTTTGTAAAACTACGGAGTAGCGGTAAACGGTAAAACAAAATTTTCGGCACTCGTACAGAAAGACTTTGAAAATTACCGCCACAGCGTCCCTTGCTATTTGAATTTGAACTTTTAATCATTATAATACAGCCGAGTTAGCAATGATGGTCGGCGTGTTTTCAAACGAGTCGAAAACAAGTGCCGGCACGCGCCTTTGGTAGTGATGCGACAGTACTCCAAAATATTGAATTATCTGTTTTAAGGCTGATATCACGTTGAAATAAAAGTAATTGTGTAGAGTAGGTAAATACTCAACTTGTGGTGGCGCGCTTGCTGCTACCGCGCGCCCGGCGCGGCGGCATCACCGAAAGGCGTTCCGCGAGCAACAACGCACGCATCTTTAGAGGTGTCGTATTAGAGTAGAGGGCTCGGCGCCCGGCGCCGGCGCCCCCTTAGACCCGTGTGCACCGCACACCCTGCTAGGGATATTCGATATACATCGATGCATCGAAAACATCGATGTTTGCAATGAAAAACATTGAATCGATCCGATGTTTTGAAAAGCTTTCAATATACTCGATGCATCGATGTTTTAAAGAAATATCCTCTGATATGGACCCAATGTTGGCAGCATTGCGCAAGAGTCAGTGCAGTGTCAATAAAAAATAACTACGAGTTTCTATGTTTATGAACATATATTTTAAATACTTTTTCTTTCTTTCTTTAGTTTTGTGAACGAAACTAAGATTGAAGTATATTTCTAATATTCTTTTGACAGACCTAGTAAAACCTTTTTTTAATTTGATCTTTTGTAAAAAAATATAATACAGATTTTTCTGACACATGGCTTTTACTTGTATTTACTTTTACCTACTCATTATGAAAGGAGTTAATTCTTTTATTTTATGAAAGATTAATATATAAACTATAATAAAATTATGGATTAAGGTCTTTTCATAAACTTCAATAGTATTTTTTTTTACTATGAAAGAATGACCTCTCTTGAGAGGTCACTTTCCACATAAGTAATTTAGTATAATGTTTGTAATAAATTTTCAGAAAAAGTACTCGATGTTTAAAATTCATCGATATTTTCATCCGATACATCGAATGACATCGATGTGTAGATGCGATGTATCGAATCAAAAAATACATCGATGTTTTTTCAGAGTGGACACCCCTACACCCTGCACTATAGGTAAAGCCGCCTCTGATAAGGACGCTCATTAGCAGAAAGGTGAGCGAAAACGATTAAAAGCGGTACATCGGGCAACACTGATTCGGCTGTTTCCGGCGTTGTACTTGCTCGGCCCAACCTCTGAGTACTGAAACCTATGGAGATGGCATACTGTGGCATTCCCACGCAAAAAACGTGTAGACCTAGGTAGTTTTCCAAATACAGAACATAGTGCGACTCAGTGGTGCGCAATGCCGAATTATGCTGGTGCTTAATGCAAATGCACCAGCAGAGTGCGCTAAGTTCAGTGTTGAAAAAGAATATTCATAGAGTTAGCAATAACCTCATTATTAAGTAAATAAAGTGGTATGCATAATAATTATAATGAAAAGAACGCTTTAAAAAAATTTGAACAATAAATAATATTACTAACTATAATATTTAAATAAAACATTTGGATCAATGCTAACTTAAAGAAAAAACACTTGTTAATTTTCTGTCAATGGTGTCGATTCTGGCACGATTCTCTAAATCTAAACTTAAATTTGACAACAGTGTATTCTTGTCATTCTCTATACAGAATGAAATGGAGAAACTGATGTTAAATTTAGTTTTAAGTTTAGAGAATCACGCCTGAATCGACCACTGGGTTGGTATCACAGGAAAACATTACTTTTGAGAGTGCTCGATTGTGCGAAGCTATGCTGTAGTTGAAACATTCAACGTTTAGCATTATGCCGCATAATGCGCTCTAGTGCTGTAATTGGAAAACTATCCTAAACCTAAAGTAACTGAGAAAAAAATGGCGTCTTCGCATATTGCGGCCCTATTGTATATCGCACGTTGACATCTCTTCAAGTCTCCGGCATATGCCCCAAAGAATACGAGCTTTGGTACAAGCGCACGGG